TCCCTATATCGACTTTACAACAAACTCGTTTTAGTTCGATAGCTCGTTTTGCTATAAATTTTGTAATACTCTATTCCATTCGTTCTATATAAAAACTCTGCCAAATGTTTTTTCAAAAACCCAACCTGTATACCTATCTGCTCGTTCTGAAGAATTAAAGAATAAGGATATAGCCGCAATCTCCTTAAAAGCCTGTTCAGCTTATGCCTACCGGAAATATGAAATGTTCCAGATATCGATTGAATAAATCGATAATATTCTAAATAAGAAGAAGAAGATATTCAACCTCAAAGATTTATTATCTGAATTCCGAAATTGAAAAGATATTTTTTCCTCAAAGAATATAAAGAAGCTATCTTCTTATTGATTATATAATTATAAAATCCATTTTAAAGAAAGAGCTATTCCTTTCTTCAATACCTTATACTCTATATCCCATCCCGAATTAGAAGTCTTGAAAGAATGATTGGAAGAGAATCTTAGAAAAGGGTTTATTCAGCCAAGCTTTTTCTCTATTGCTTCCCCTATTCTATTTGTTAAGAAGACTGATGGAAACCTTTGGTTTTGTATAAATTATCACGCTCTAAATAACCTTTTAGTTAAGGATCAATACCTTTTACTATTAACAAAAGAATCTCTAAATAATCTAAAGGGAATAAAGTATTTCAATAAAATTGATATCATCTTTGCCTTCAACAATATAAGAGTGAAAGAAGGGTAGAAATATCTGATCGCATTCCATACCCGATTTGAACTATTTGAATCCCTGATTATACCATTCAGACTAACAAGAGCACTTATAACCTTTCAAAGGTTTATTAACAATTCTCTACAAGGATACTTAAATATATTTTGCATTGCTTACCTAAATGATATTCTAATATACAGCCAAACCCGAAAGGAATATATCCATCATATCCAGAAGATCCTGTAAGCACTATGGGAAGCCGGTTTATTCGCTAAATTCGAAAAGTACAAATTCCTGAAATCCGAAACCAAGTTTCTAGGCCTTATTATAGAAAGGGATAATATCCAAATAAACCCAAAGAAAATCAGAATTATCATAGATTGGAAACCGCCTACTACTATAATTGACATCCAAATGTTCATCGGATTTGCAAACTTCTATCAACAATTTATTAAAGATTTCTCAAAGATTATCAGCCCGATAATAGACCTGACTAAAAAGAATATCCTGTTTCTGTGGAGCCCTGTCTATCAAAAAGCGTTTGACCAATTAAAGCAAGCGTTTATTGAAGCCCCTATCCTGGCTTTCTTTAATTAGAAAAAGGAAGTTATCTTAGAAACTGACGTTTCTGATTATATATCTATCGGAATACTCTTCCAATACAATAATAAAGGAATACTGAGACCTATTACATTTTTCTTTAAAAACATTCGGTAATTGAATATAACTATGAAATTTACAATAAAGAACTATTAATTATCATCCGCTGTTTCGAAAAGTAGCGCCTGGAGCTGAAAGACATCGCCTCCCCAATTCAAGTTATTACCGATCACTAAAATCTGGAGTATTTCATTACTACAAAGCTATTGAATTGTTATTAAGCTTATTAATCCAAATTTCTGTTTCGATTTAATTTCTAAATCATTTATTACCTCGGGAAACTAGATATCAAACCCGACATACTGATTAGAAGATCAAAAGATCTCTCTAAAGAAGGGGATAAATATCTTTTACACCAAAGCTATATTATCCTGAAACAAGAGAACCTGAATCCCAACCTATTTCCCGCTATTATTACTTTAATCGAACCCAAGATTGCTAAGAAAGTATACTCGCTGTAATTACTTGTAGTCAGAGAAACCCTAACCCTACCGACACCACCAACCATTTAGATTCCGATAACACCATAATTTTACCAGAAAATGGTAAAGTTATAAAGCCTGCAATTCTACTTACTATATCTATACCCAACCTTACAATACAACTAGAAGACTCAGAAACCCTTCTAAACCTTCTTGCCGACCTGCTTACCCTGTTCCACAAAGACTATCAAACCAATCCTGTACCCGAATCTGTCCTGAAATCCTTATGAAAGGAATCCCCGAAACACTTGAAAATCATTTTTACCGAATATACCGAAAACAACAATCTACTATATTATCAAGAAAAACTATACATTCCCAATCATAACCCTCTGAAAACCTACCTGCTCCATCTGTACCATAAATCGCCCGCCGCCGATCACCTGCACTATACCCGAACCTTCGAATTACTATCCCGAAATTACTATTGGCCTGAATATTACAATTATATTATATAATGGATCTATAACTGCTATAATTATCATTGCATTGCCCCAAATTGTAAAGATCAGAAGAGAGTTCTTTGCCTGCTCCCAATCCTGCAGAGAGCTTGGCAAGATATCTCAATAGATTTTATTATATATCTATCCAAAAGTATCGGTTTCGATACTATTATAATAGTAATTGATTGATTAACAAAAATGAAATATTTCTTGTTCTATTATAGTACCTACAATTCCAAAGAGGTTGTCCGCCTGTTCCAGAAGAATATCTGGAAGCTCTATAGCTTACCTCTATTCATTATATCTGATCGTGAAGCTCAATTGTTTCTGAATTCTAGAAATATATCTGCAAGCGCTTGGGTATAGCTGCTAAGCTCTCAACTGCTTATTATTTTGAAATTAATGGACAAACCGAGAGGGCTAATACGATATTAGAGCAGTACCTCCAATCGTACATAGTATATCTATAGGATAATTGAATAGAATGACTCCCACTTACCAAATTCTCCATTAACAATACCTGATCCGAAAGTACCCGGATAACCCTATTCTTCTCGAATTACGAGTTTTACCCTCACCTGGACTTCAAGCCCGCATTATCCCAGAATAATCGTTTTGTTATACAAAACGCCAAAAAATTTGTTATTAAAATAGAAACTATCTTCTTATACTTACAAATCGAATTAACTACTAGTTAAGCTTGATATTCAAAAAATATCAACACTCACTATTCCCCTGTTTGTAGATACCTGCCCGGTGATCTGATTTAGCTAAACACTAGAAATATCAAGACTCTACACTTACAAAAAAAGCTCAATTAAAAGAACCTCAAGCCCTTCAAAATCTTGAACCCAATAGACCCCTATACCTATAAACTAAAGCTCCCAATCTCGATAAAGATTTATTCTGTTTTCTATATCAACCTACTATATCCTACACACAATAATTCTATTCCTGAATAGTATAATCCATCACCACCTTTTGTAAAAGTAAACAGCCTCAAGCGTTTTGAGATTACCGAAATCCTGAATTCCCGTTGGAAAAGAAGAGGTTGTAGAGAACCTCGCCTGAAATACATTGTCCATTGGATTGACTACAATATGCTAATCGAAGAATCTACAAGCTACCTAAAAGACATATAAGAACTGATCCACAACTTTCATTGTAAATACCCTGACAAACCCGGTCCCACTTAATCAGACCCCGCCTGCCTGTAGATTGTAAACCATAACATACCGCTTCAATAGAGCTCGACTCATAGAAAGAGAGTAATGTTATAGTATGAGCTTATATGATATACTGATTCTATCAAAAAGGACCAAAAGGAGCACTTGCACCAAAGCACAAGCGAGCTAGAGCCCGATCGGGCTAGCTCGCTATGAAAATTCCGTATATCTTCAACTCAGAAGATCCTGTATTGTAGCTCTTTGAGCTACATCTTAATCCTCAATCTGAACCTATTATCCGAATCAGTATAACTTTGCTAGATTAGAGTAAAGTTATTAGAACCCTATCCCGCCCGCCTGCCCCGTGATAATTTTGTGGTTTTATTACTCTATTAGACTCTATAGAACCTTTCATTCTAGATTCCTCGAATATTAATTCAGATATTAGCTTATCTAAATCAATATTATTATTATTATTTAAGTCTTTTGAGAGTTCTTCGGTTTTTCTTGATTTAAACGAATCAAATGAATCATTTAGACCATTAAATACAATCCATATTACATAAGCTTTTTGCAATTCAAATTTTAACTCTTTTAAGTATATATAGGATGAGAGTATGTGATTCGTATATTCATCCATATTACTAAAATCATTATAATTTGATTCTATTAATCTATTAAAATATCTTCCTATTATATCAAGAGAAGTTTCACCATAAATTTTATTTATAGTATCCCAGAGCTCTACTGGACTAGTTTTATCCTTAAATCTTTCAACTAAATCCATTGATATTATTGATTTTAGGGTCGCTAGAGCTCTTTTAGATTTATCTTCATATTCTTTCAATTTTTCGCTATATTTGAGGTGAATCTCTTTCGAAATAGGCATATTATTGTCTTTAAAATAGTATTTTCTTTCGGGGCCTTTTTCTGAATCGTCTATATAGGGCATAAAACCATTAGCCTCTAAAAAGAGCTTAGATTTAGTATACCATTCTATATAATTAGATCGACCATTCAGTTTAGGACCAATATATTTGATTCCTTGATTCTTGTCAGTTGTTCCTATGTAGAGTTAACTCCACGATTTTAATGCGATGGATATACTTTATACATGTCTCTATAGAGCATTGGCTTTTATTTCAATTTTATGAAGGAGAAAAATATCAAAATAAATTGACATTTTGTCAGGGAGGAAGATATTGTTCCTTGTCGAAGGCGACAGATTCGGGAACTTGGTGATGACATGGTTACCTTCAGATTATACGAATAGCTATGATAATTCTAAGAAAATTCGTTATGTCTGTCGAAGAGTTGAGAGAAACTTCTTCGCTTGAATCATCTCTAGAATCTGCTCATTCATCCTCTTCAGTACGATATCTTGGAGTTACTCGGAACCAGTCTGGAAGTTTTCTCGGAATCATATTTTCTACTCGCTACCGCCAAACTTCTCTTCATCTCATCTCATCTCCATACCTCTTGTATCTCCATACCCATTAATCAAATCCTTATATTTCACTAAAGAAGTGATATACTTATAGTATTCAAGAATCCCATATTCTTATTCCCTTCCATCTCCCCTCCCCCTTCCATCTCCCCTCCCCCTCATCCCCCGCATCCCCACCTCCTCAAAAGCCCTCCCCGCTTTCTCATACAAATCAACATGCCACCACGTGCACGAACGCCATAAATCCGACACCGGCGTTTGCGGAGTCCCAGCACCATGACCATGTAAGCCCATTGGACAAAAGAGATAAAGAGTGAGAGAAAGCAGACGAAGAGCAAAGAGTTGAACGAGGGGAGAAGAGTTTGTAGTATGAGAAAGCCTGTGAGAGGGGTTAGTGTGTGTTTTGAGATGAAATAGGGATGAAATAGGGATTAAATAGAAATGAAATAGGAATAAAAACAAAAACAAAAACAAAAACAAAAAAACCAACCAAAACCCATTTCCCAACACCTCTACAAATTCCCTCCCCTCACATTCAAGATCGGGGAACGCGAGAAAAAATGCACAGAGAGATAACGTGTCACCAATCAATTCATACGTATGCACATGCAGAGGTATTTTTTCTGCATACCTTCTCTGCGCTGAATGGGAAGAGAAATTCGAGTATCGGGATGTGAGGAGTGCGAGTTCGGTGTTGAAGCTCGATTGGAGGGTGCGGATTGGGAGGGGGGTTTGTGTGAGAGTGGTGTGGAGACGGGTGGTGATTGTTTCTGGGTCTGGGTCTGTTTCATCATCTGTGTCTGTGTCTGGGTCTGTAGAAGATGGATGTGTCATTTTAGTGGGTTTGGCTTGAGGTGCAGGTGCTGGAAGTACTTCGGTTAATCGTAAGAATGAGTTACTTTTTGGTTTTATATCTGAGCTAGAATATGATTGCCGTTTCTGAGTTTTCGCATCGTCATCTCCATCCTCATCATTACTATCATAAGGGAATTTGGTATATAATTCATGACGTTTGTGAAGAAAGGATTGCCATTCTATTTCATTGGTTTCAGGATTTTCTCTATAGTTGAAAGTTAGAATTCGAAGAAGAATGAGATGTGAAAAGGGGGAATAGAGACACTAACGGTCTTTCGAAAGCGAGAAGGGCGCGAATCTCTTCGCATCTTTGCACCGTGGTTGAATTTGCTGATATTGTCATATTGGAGTTTTAATATATTAATCTCCTATTTGTTGGATTGTCTAGAGAATAGGTAGATCGAATCAAGAAACACGAATAGGTAACTTTAATTTAGAGATCAGGGGGAAAATATCTAGTTCCAAATTGTAAACGAAGGGATAGAAATAAGAGCAAAACTGCAACAGATTCATGGCACACAAGAAATTAAATAATATTCCCCAACATTAAAACGATCTGGCCGCCTAATACATAACCCATCAATCCTGCGCCTCGAATCCTCTGGGTCGATTGTTGGAAGTGGCCCTGAGCTTGGCCATCGAGATGCTCCTAAGTTGACCAGCGAGAATCCTTGACTCCGCAACTTTATACTCAGCACCTAGGTAGATTTTGGGAACAAATAGTGGTTGGGTAGGTTGAGTAATATCTAGCCTCAAAATCGGCCCAAGCCAACTTTTCTATGTCCTAAATGTGACAGTGATAGATTTTTTTTGATTGAATCGTCTGGATGCAAACCCAACCCCACCTCAATGCTGCAAATTTCTTGCAGTGGCTTTAAACTTGCAGACTGAAACTATGGCCGATATTTGCGGAAGCTTACACGGTGTTGATAAAGGCTAGACCTCGTTCCCATAAATCTCTGATATTGTGATTTATGAAGTGGAAGGTGAGCAAGTGCTTGTCTTGTCATCATTTATCTTCAGATTCGAATCATCTGTTCCTCCGTCGTCACAGTCATTATCGCCCATAGTTTTAGCACCTTCTATTACATATTCATCCATCTCAATGTCAGAACCTTCATATATACCCCCATCGGTAGATCCACGAGAAAATACTTTCCAGTCGTATTCACATACCCTAGCTCCTCCAGTCACAAGAAGCTCTTCGATCAAAGAATCATTCTCGCTACTATCGCAACCAGGTGGTATATGGAGGTCTTTTGTGCCGTCCATCAGAATTTTCAAGGGGCTATAACGAGCGTATGATGTAATATAAAATAGATCACCCACACAATAATTCACATCTGCCCCCCATCCTATCAATACAGATATACCGGCTCTCCATCTCATGTACACTGCTTGCTGAAGAAGACTTCTGCTGCTATCTGTTTTCAACAACCTTGGTTCGTAGAAGGAGAGATCAGGATGCACGCCAATGTCAAGGAGTAATTTCAAAACCATCTCATCTCTTCTCATAAGTACTTCATTTGTGATGTGATTGCACATATCTGTTTCAGTAAAACCGTGAGCCACCGCTCGCTTTAGAACAAAGCGAAGTTTCGCTTCGTTATCACATCGTGCGAAAGCTGCCAGAGATGAGATGAGGCTGTAATCGGGGCAACCGAAGCTTTGAATATGATAGAACAAGAGTTGAAATCTTTCCATTGAGTCCATGCTTATGGCAACTGCAAGGAGGACTGATTCTATTTCTGAGACAAAACATTCGAACTTTAAAGGCCATTCCGACCGTATTTCGAGTTCAGTCCCGACAACGAATGCCAATGATTCCTGATCAGGATGTAAAAGCGCATAAGAGAAGGGCTTCCACCAGAGACCAATATCGTCTGTTGGCATTAAATCGCATTCATTTGTGATCAGCTGTATAAAATCGAGAATCTCGGAGGTGCTCTCGTGGAATCTTCCCCCAACTGATCTCATGATTTCTATGAGGACCAAGAATAAAAAGCTACTACCTTTTTTTTTCGCAAGCTCCAAGGCAGTTTGAAACCTGCGATACATTTTTGATTTGCCTCTAGGGACATTGAAGTAGTGGCGTATATGTGCCACGTTCTCAAAATGGATAGCAACGGAAAGAGGAGGGCGGTCTCCAAGTTCCAGAGTTACATCAACGGTCGCGTTATATTCTTCAATGAGTAGTCTTTCCACATGTTCCAGCTTCAGAAAACTTGCGCAGTAAATTGTTGTGCCAGGATCATTCCGATTCTCCCATTTGTCATTCGAATAGTCGGTATCAAAAGAATCACCACAGCCTGGTTGGCCAAACCAGGCCTCTCTCCAATGATACGAGTCCAGAAATTGAACAATATATCTCGCTGTTTCTATGTCGTTTTGGTCTGAAGAACTTCTCGCGTGAGATGGCCAGTAGGCGAATGGATACTTCCATATACATTCAAGATTGGTTTGTGTAGCGAACCAATTGATGTAATTTAGGCAGCATTCAAGAGCGAATAGGTGTAGAGAGGGTTCACCAAAGCCATTCATATATGTGACATTCAGATGAGTTGATGTAAGATACTCGCGAACTGAGAAGTGAGAAAATTGGACAAATTCTGTGTATATACGAGTAATAGTTTTACCGTCAGATGCAAGCCTATGACGTATACGGCCATCTTCAATGAGGGTAACCAAACTCCCTAAAATATCAAGGAGTTCATGTGGGTTCCCGAATCGATTATCAATGTTGAATGAAGGCTTCGAATCAATTCCTGCCGCTACAGCTTCAGCTAATTGATTGAGCGTTAGGTCCTCCTGACAAATCATCAGCCACTTCAGTGCAGCAACGACTATGTCTGTGTAATCTTCATGGATATTTGAAAGCATTCTTTCGTATGTAGCATGCAGAGTTCGAGGCAGGCTCTTTAGAGTCTTTCGTAACATAGCTGGAGTGGGGCACCTTCTTAGGGCATCGAGCTGACAGGTCACCCACAGGAACGTACCACAAAGTAAGATTCTGGAACAGATTGGACTGTTGAGGGAATAAGGACTCACATTCCATTAGCACTGTCTTCCAATGCCATTGCTATCTCAGTCTTAATCTCAGGTGGACCACTTTCTTAGTTTTTTGTCGTTTTCCAACTGTGTTTTGACGTATTGGCGTGTGTCCGAGTTGACATTTTCATTTCTGATAGGAAAAATTGAGAGTCTGGGTACCTCATCTATGATTTCTTTGATGTCCGCTTCCTTCCGACTGGTCATGAATATATGTAAACTTTTGTAGGCCCATGAGGATACCTCTTGCAGTAATTCACAGACAACCTGTCGATTACCTTGTTCATAACCTCTAGGACATTCGTCAACTGCGTCTAGGATTAGGTAAAAGGTTCCAGGCATCGACAACACGGCTTTAAGCATCGCTTTCAGCTTCTCTAATTGCGGAGCGGTGGATTGAGTGTCCTTGTAGATGACTAAAGCATCGTCGAGCGCGGCGTCATATCTGACGAGGAACTGTGTGAGAACAGAGCGCAGTTAATTATTGGCATTTGTTTTTCAGTTCCATTGAAAGAGAAGTAGTAATATGCGATGAAACGGTCAGAATTATTGGCACAATAATCGATCATATCCTGAACAACTGTTGAGCTGTATTTCTATTAGCACGCGAGCATAAATTTCTTAATGGTGATGGAGGGCTGCCCGTACCACAGAATTGTTTTGCCGCAGCCTGATAGACCCTGAACCCAAAGGAAGGAGTTATCGCTCGTCTTCCAATTGCTGTATTCATAACTTTGAAGAAACCATGACCCGGCGCCAGGTTCAAAGTGTCTTCGCGCCAAGTCATGGTTTGTTTTCGGGTCTGCAGTCGACAACCAATGGAGAAGGTCCTTTTTCTTAGATTCTGTTGCTGCTGATCAGTAATTTCTAAGAGTCATGTATAGATTGTTTACCTCGGGCTTTTATCTTTTCATGAGACTCGAAATCCAAACTTTGCTGAGTGATTGTGCATTTTAAATCCTGGATGCTATCCTTAACGTCTTGAGCATGTTGGACGATGTTTGTATGATTTGTATTAATACTCTGATTAAAAAGACTGACATCATGTATAATATCACGAGCATCATCTTTAAGGTCTCGGATATGGTCTTCAATCCTCTGCGCATTTTTCTTGATATCTCGAGTGTCGCATAGAGCCTGCTGGGCGTACTTCTCGACTGCTGCAATGATTTGTCTGTAGCAAGACTTAGCACAGCTTAATTTCCAGCATGTATTTTAGACCGCGTACAGTTGATCGGACTGAATTGCAATATCAAACTGCTCCCTAACATCATCAAACCTTGAGAAAACATTTGTTGATTTTCCTGTCCCAAGAACTGCCTCTAATCCATCGGTTAAACAAATTCTTCTCCTCTAATCTTTGTTGGACTTCGTTGATGACTTCCTGACATTCTTTCCATGGCTGTTCAGCTTGTTCAACGAGGCAGAATCGCCCTTCACTTTCATCAATCGCAGCTATATTCTTCAAACCTTGATATGAGGCAAGAAATCTCCGCAATGTCTTTAGCATACGCTCTAGATCAGTTCGGTTGTGTTCAGACAGTCCAACAGTCTTCGACAAAGCCTGGGCTAATTGAATACAAGCAATGATGCTGGCTGTGAGCCCGAGAACGCTGACTTAATCCATCTTGGTTAACCGCCTTTTGAGCCTTGTCGGAGATCAGAAACGAAGTATCATCGACAGCTAAACAATGCTCATTGCACAAGATCCAAAGTATCTGTGATTGTGTTAAAAAAAAGACGCAGTTGTTGGCAGACACTGGTCAAAGAAGTAAAAAATGAGAATGAGGAGGGCGGTTCCTTAAATTTTGTTTCCTGCGAAGGTTGGCGAAAGGTAAGATGAGATGTAAGATAGTCTGGATTCTTCGCATACTCTATTGATAGGTTACATGAGCATAACCTCACGAATTCATACTCTCGATTTATAAACTCAAAAGATCGCAGTGTGCATTCATTTATTGTAATTTTGAGACGAGATGGGTTCCGAATAAAACAGGGCATAGCAACGTATTCCATCGTTTTGCTAATGCTGCTATTACAATAACATTTTTTTTTAACTGTTATTTGCTTTTTTGCCATGGTCCGAGCAGCGTATGCAGTCTCCCTTCCTCTCCTAAGCCCTAAAACTCCTTACTGGCTCCTGGAAATTATCCCTCCTTCCGCTTGTTTGTTTGAGGAGAGGAGGGGAGATTGCAAACGCTTGGGTCTAAGGACGAACTACCCCAAGATCAACTATCTTGAAAAGTAGAAGGTTCAAAATGAAAAGGATCGCAAATTATAGCAAAATCGTTGCTGACCAAAGCAAGAGCGGAGTAAATGTTGAAATGACAGGTAGAGAATGACATAACAGTCGTCCATCCAGTAAACCCTTCAATGACATGACATGAACGTATTTAACGGCCCAAGTATCAGAAGTGACAAACAAACTTTCAAAGCTCTTGGAATGGCAGCTTTAAATGACTCTGGCCTTGAAGAGCCTTGCTGGAACTTTCTCTCAAGTAACCAAAGCTAATGAGGTTGTTTTATGCATCGTGAGCATCCCCAGAAACAGCTACATAAACACTTTTTGACTTTCTCCGATTTATGATTTGTTTTGTCCCCAGAGTGGCCATGTATACAGAGACGCAAGACTCCGTGATATTGCCCAGCTTAAGAGTTTGTCAACGTGGTCAGTTTGGGATATTATCATGAATCTTGATAGGATTTTGCCAACGTATATTCGATACGTCGCTGGCCGCTATGATAACTGGCATATTAGTCAATATAAACACACATAAATGTGTAGGTTCAACATGATGATAGCAAAGTAAACAACGATTCATTTGGTCATGTCAACATGCCTCGGTTTAATTATCAAACAGAAGCTCCCTCTGAGTTGTTTTCACAGCAAAGACAAATGCGTCAGTGATGAAGTCTCTCCAAGAACGGGTCTCGAGAGGACTCCACCGCCACGCCGAGCAAGGTACGACGACGTGTTTTATGGACCTTTCGGGTATCTCTCCGACATCGTGCAGCTCTTGCGGCTCGGTCAACAAATAGTGGTACCGCACACTGGGTACCATGATTGTGGCAGTGACATATATTGCCACGAACGGTGACGGATCTTAACACGGTGAGTAAAATAGAGATGGCTGTGGATAGCAAAACGAATACGTGCAGATGAAGCTATGGTATGGGGACAGCCCCAGCTTGTATTGCATATTCAAGCCGAACCACTCTTTGAAAAGGGCGGGGTTGGGGTTGCAAGTTGCTACGCCGCTGTTTTCTACGGATGAAGAAAGACGAAAAAAGGAAATTGAGAAGAGGGAGAAAGAGTGCATTTCACCCGTGATACTAATGCAGACCTGCACAGGCTGCACCGCCTTCTTCAATTGCCGGCCAAGACGACGACTTATGGAGACTTTCCTGCCACCTCCTGAGTTTTGAAGTCTTCGGTACGTGTCAATTGATGGCAGAGCTGACGAAGAAAAGAATGGCTGGAGATTACGCTCGGTCGCAATGGAAGAAAAAGAATGAAATGAGTATTTTCAGCAGTTCCACTTTGAAACTTTCGCTGGCTGGCTCGCAGAAAAAAACATCAAAGGTTTCTCAAGTTTTGCCAAGACTTTGCGGAGAGTGAGATAGCTTTTGGCGCTAATGGATAAACTAATCTCGGACGGGAGTCGGAAGCGGCGCAGTGTGAGAGTGTCGAGAAAAAAGGCTGGGAAATTAAAATGAGTTCGAGCAAGGGTCGAGAAACCTTAACAGGGTTTGCTATGGCAACCAATAAGATTGGCGTCTGATATCAACGGAAAGACCCCTTGAGTACTTGACTACTACTCTACTACCTACCTAGTAATATTTGAAGCTTGGATAGTGTGAAGCTGAAGGATGTACTCCGTAAAATCAGTCAGTGTCACTGAAGTGTGAGGTAAAAAAAGAGGAGAACCGAGGTGCAAAGACAACCAAGTGAAGAAAGCTTTTTCCATGATCAACCAGATCATCAAGTGAAACCGATTGCGTGTTTTCTTCTTATCAATTCGTATCAATTGTTTTCGAGACGACATGGTTTTGAAAGCTGACAAGTGTAGCTACCTTGACACATTTAATTGAACCTATCAAAATGCAATTGATTGATTGATGAAGCTCTAGATTTACACAATGTTCCTTTGGCAGAGCACATACCGATATTTGATTCGACTTCTTTTCCATGTGAAGCTCGGGTAGAGCTATGCTGAGCTTACCGTCCAAGTTGCCCTCCATCGATCTTATCCTATCCTCCAATCAATTCGTTCCACGATACGAGTCAACGTCAGGGGTCTCTCAAATGTGAGGAGCTGAAGCTTAAGGAAATTGAATTTATTTCTTACGGCGTCCAAACTCACACTTATCCGTATTCGACATGGTCTATGGAAGACGGCCAATGGTGAGGCTACCTAGATTCCTGTTTGGGATGATTGATTGACGGTCGTTTGTTTTCATTTGGAGAGATTCGAGAGGATATCCAACCGGAGCATGTCTTCTATCGGAAACTTGCACGGGAAAGTAAAATGCTGCGATGGCTGGGGGCCGAGAACACATGAACACGAAGATCCACTGATGCTTCATACCCGATCGAGAAGGAAAGTGGAGTCTGGGAAGAGTGGAGAGCTGTCCAGATGGAAGGACAAGAGAAGATGAAGACGAGGCCGATTACAGCAGAGCCAAACAGATTTCATGTGAACACTGTGAAGCCTTGGACTTGGAGATCTAGTTCGACGCCACAAATATCGATAAATGAAATTGCCGATGATATGCTTGGAACATGATATTGCTCAGGACCTCGGAAAGTCAATAGTCGGGGATGGATCAAACAGTAGTGTACAGAGTAGAGTAGGATCGAGGTAGTTGAGTGGTTTGTTTACATTGCATCCTATTTGGGATATATTATGGTCGATATTGATTGGAGTGGTGACACTCTGGGGTAGCTAAGCTTGAGGTACCTTGTGATGGCGTATGAGGAGAGAAAGTAAAAGAAAGAGAGGAAAGAAATGAAAGGCAGAGGGTAAAAAGGAAATTAGAGTTACCTACCACGTAGACATCCATATGTAGAATATATTCGAACCAATCTTCACGCAGTTTCATCATTCAATAGATGGAATCATGGGATTGAAATTACTAGGTAGGTGTAGGTGTAGGTGTAGGTGTAGGTGGTCGAGTGCTCCGTAGCTCAAGAATAGACTCTACCGTACCACGATTACCATTTGGGCATGTCTTATTATTTCCGTCTTCTCATCCATCACACATATGTCACTCTCATCACCCTTCCATTCATGATCCATCCATCATCCATCCAGCCATCATCCATCATCCATCACCTTGTCCATCCACCTCCCCCCCATCAATCATAAAAGCAGACCGTCTTCCCTACCACTTTTCATCACTTTCTGCACTGCATTGTAACTCGGCTTCCTACAATGCAACCGTTCCAAATGGTAATTCTTTGGTAATTCTTAGGTAATTACTCGATGCAGTTAGTCAGAAATAATATCATATTCCAAATATCACAACATCACCACAACTGAATGTAAACAAACAAATCATCCCACCTAGGTATACCTAATAAAAAATCACGATGGCTGTCGGTATAATTTAAAATTGAGTGACCCTGCTGGCTGCTTGGATGGAAAAACGTGAATATCCAACCACCTTGATTTCTCTAAACTTGCTCCCACCACCCTTCACCCATTCACCCTTCACCCTTCGTGCACCCTTCGCAAATCTCTCTCCACCATCTTCTTTCCCTCTTTCAATCCTCCCACCCCACATCAACACAAATACAACCTCAAAATCGCATCCCCAATCAATTTTGTACACACACACTCACACACTACACTCTTCACACCTACCACCTACCTACTTTCTCCATCGCATTGCACTTTCGCAATCACATCACAATATACTCTTGCTACTCTTTGTTCATCTTGAAAGACCTCCAAATATTTTTTGAAATCTGAAAGACGAGTCAAGAAACGTTACCCGTAAACGTTTTCTTCCCTCTTCCTTCTACCTCAAGAAGTAGAGATCCTTCTTGTGATATCCTTTCGGTACGCTGAAAGGTATTCGAGAAGTGTTCTCGCATTGAAAGGTCGTCAACCTGGACTTTGACGCACGTATACCGATCCCCTTCAGCATCTTCCCGTCGTCGTATAGAAGCGACGTCGCTGCCCAACCCATTCATACCACCGAGACTCACGTCGAAGGTGAAATCACTCTACACCATCATCACGAGCGCGTCGGACGGGAAGGTCAAGAAGAGGACGCTCAATCTCTTTACTCTCAACACCAACATCAGCTGCAACACGACCATCAACACGAACACGAACCCGAACACCAACATCAACATCACCTTCCTCCCCCTCCTCAACGACAGGAGTTTATAGAAGAAGAGGTTCGCATCACCCGTGAAGAAGATCGCCGTTCTGAATACCGTCCGAGCAGCCGCAGAGAAGAAGAAGTTTACATTCGTGAAGAACGCAGGTGAGTAACTAAAAACAAAAAAAAACAGTCCTTTCTTTTACAGTCTCAAAAAAACTCTCCTTTCTATCAAAATCCACTATCTATCAAAAATTACATCAAAAACAAACGAGACACAAATCATCATACCAGACCGACCAGCTGGAGCCAAAATAACATCCACAATACTTTTTTCCCCCTTCACCTCCATTTTCACCTCTCTTTGGGCCCTTTTCCAAACATTGGCACCAATTCCCAATTTTTCTTTCTTTTCTCGTTCTACAGCATTAATAATAATAAAACGATCTGGCCATATCGGAAGAAGCAGTACCCAATTAACCATTAATTGGGTCCCTTCTGAGACAAATTTGCCAGCTTTCTTGTTTTTTATTATTACGACGCACAGTCCAACGATCTTCGGTTTAGTCCCAGCCACCCCCCTTACCCCAAAAATAACATGGGCTTCTTTGTTTTTTCTTTTAGTGTTGACACAGTAACGCACACCGTTTAATTTTCTTCATTAACTGACCCTTTGGTTTCTCTACCCTTCTTTTAGACCCGAACACAAACACAAACACCACTCTGCTTCCTTCGATATCAACACCCCACATCACCACAGACACTTCGAAGCTTCTTTTGAAAGAGACAGTGATCGTCACCACAAACACTCTGAAGTTAATATCGAACTTCCCCGTCGTGAACATCATCATCACCACCATCATCAACGTCGTCAATCTTCTGAAGTAGACTTTCAACTTGAACGTCAACGTCAATCTCGTCACTACGAACCATCCGAAGTTGATACTCAGTTCTCTGCTCCTCAAAAGAGTCCCACCGAGACCAACATCGACTTCGTTGAACGTCAATACCGTTCCCGAACCCAACCAAGTTACAAGGAAGACACTGTCATCGTCGACCCTCCCAAATCCCGTGTATCTGAACCAAGATACATTGAAGAGACTCGTGTAACTGAGACTACTATCGTCCCAGCACCCCGTTCCACTCACTCTCACAAACCCAAGTCAACCTTCCACGAAGAACAGTTCGAGGAAGAAGTTCGCGTCAAGCAACCTCGCACACCAGCCAGATCTACTTTCACCGAAGAAGTTCGTGAAAGAGAACTCGTCAAGTACACTCCCCCCGCACCCAAATCAACCACTTCAACTTTCAAACCAGTCAATCTCGAAATGGGTTACTACGATGATGAAGGTAAGCTTCCTGTTTGTTTTTTTCTTTAACCCCCCACCATGTACCCTAAGCATTCAAAATCAGGGAACTATCACTCCCTTCGTGGAGGTTACTACCATGGACACGGGAAAACTTTGAACCAGGACCCAATTGACTCTCTCGATTTAGCCGGAGCCCCAGCCGTTGCTGCTCCAAAGCAACCTGCCAACACCGTTACCATCCCTTGCCACCACATCCGTATGGGTGACCTCTTGATGCTCCAAGGACGTCCCTGCCAGGTTATCCGTATCACCACCTCCGCTGCCACTGGCCAACACCGTTACTTGGGTGTTGACCTCTTCACCAGACAATTGAATGAAGAGTCCTCTTTCATCGCCAACCCAAGCCCAAGTGTCGTCGTCCAAACGATGTTGGGACCAGTCTTCAAGCAATACCGTGTTCTTGATCTCCAGGACCACTCTGGTAAGTTTTATCTACTACTTCTTTATCAGCATCTCATACTAACATGAATTTAGTTGTTGCCATGACCGAGACCGGCGATGTCAAGCAAGCCATTCCCGTTTTGGACCAATCCAACCTCTGGACTCGTCTTAAGGAGGCCTTCGAAGGTGGACGTGGTAGCATCCGCATCATGGTCGTTGCCGATGGTGGTCGTGAGATCGCTGTTGACATGAAGACTGTCCACGGATCCCGTCTGTAGATTTCCTGTACCAATCACCATGGCGTCCAACCGGCAATAATCCATTGGCCTTTCCTCGATGGAGTTTCCTTTTTGTTTTCATGATTTTTTAGTGCATTTTCGGAGGGAAAATTTGAAACGTATGATGGGGTAGATATGGATTCAGATTGATTAATGAGGGATGAAATTTGGACGATCTGGTTTTTTATCTGATCTATCGGATTCTTTTAGTTTAACGAAGTATTCAAGTAGGTCCTCGATGCCATCTATGGTGATACTACTTTGGTGGTTTTGACATGGTGGTAGAGAGAGTCCTTGATGCTGCGGTCTTTTTCTACTTTGTAATTGTGTAAATAGGAAAAGATCCAGAATGAAAACACGCTGCTTGTCTATTACTTTTATCTCTTTACGCTGTGATTAATTGAATTCCAATATGTGACTGGATTGTTACCCTTAGGAATGTGTGGTGTTGAAGAATGTTACTTGACCCAATTCCCCAGCCATGATGATTAGATGTGTCCAATTCCCACTTTTTGCCGAGGGATCAACCTTAAATTGCCGTATAGGATCCGAGTGGGGGTCTGACATCTTCAAGTCTTTGATTTCGTAAGGAGTACTCAAGCTAAGTAAGGGTACCTTGATGGTTCGATACGGGCTCGAGTACCTTCTTTATCTAGAAAGGACTGCACATGATACCATTTACCCATATTCCCCGCCATTCACGTAGCTTCTGAAGATAAGCTCAACAGATAAGATGAGTCCTTTCATTGAATCAATTAATCATTTATCCAAGCCTTGATACGTACCATCTGTTCTGCTCCTATTTTTCAGCTTTGTCTTCACTCGTAACCTCATTATCCAAACCTTCAAGTTCTCTTGGGTTTTCTCTCATCTACACTTATCTCTATCTAAGTTCTTCTCTGCATTCCGTCCATACAATACACAACATTCACAAGTTATAAACCATGGGTTCATCGCAATCAACCCCAGTTTACAATTCTCCCGCAGAAGCCCAATGCATCCTTCTGGAGAAGATTCAGAATATGCAGCTTCAAACTGAGGAAGATGATTACATACATGTAAATGAAAAGGGTGCTGCTTACCAAGCTACTTCGCGAGCTCAGTGGACTCCTTTGAGTGCTGCGAGAGTTGAAAATGGGAGGGAGGAACTCTTGAGTGATCCTAAGAATCGGTAGATATAATTACTATGCATTCCAACTGCATTATACTAATATCAATCTCTCTCTAGTCTCGCCCTTAGTGCTCTTAGCAGCGCCGATCCGCGAACAGTCCTCACATCCCGCACCACCCTCAACCAAGATCAACAAATCTTTTCCGTCAAAATACCTTTTGAGGGAGCTCCAATAACTAATCAGCGACAATCAGGACGATGTTGGTTGTTTGCCTCCACCAATGTCTTTCGCGTCGCATTGATGAAGAGACATAACCGTAAAGAATTCGAGCTCTCTCAAGCTTATCTATTCTTTTGGGATAAATTGGAGAAGGCGAATTGGTTTTTGGAGCAAATCCTTGATACGGTAGGAGAGGATTTGGATGGAAGATTGGTGCAGCGATTGATGGAGAGTCCGGTTAGTGATGGAGGACAGTGGGATATGTAGGTTTTGCTTTGCATGATATAAATTCCTGACACTCGAATTCTAACAACTTGGATTAGGGTTTACAACCTTGTCCATAAATATGGTCTCGTACCCCAAGTTCTCTACCCAGATAGCTTCAACGCTCAAACATCTTCGGTGATCAATAGTATTATCACACACCAACTCCGAGAAGATGCTCTCAAACTACGCGCTGCAGCTACTACAAAATCTGCCTCTACTCTCAACAGTCTAAAAGAGCATATGGTTCGCCAAATCCATCTCATCCTAACTCTTGCTTTGGGTCCACCACCTGCTTCTGATACAGCTTTCACATGGCAATATCTAGACAAAGATGATAACGCTCAAGAGTTGAAAGTCACCCCCATTCAATTCGCCAAGGAATTGAATACCCCAAAATCAATCAGAATCACCAATTCCACAGTCCACGATATGTTCTCACTAGTCAACGATCCTAGAAATGAATACAACACTCTCCTAACTGTCGATCGTCTCGGTAATATCGTAGGCGGTCGTCCAATCACATATGTGAATGTTTCCATGCCCGTCATGAAAGCTGCTTGTGTTTCCATGTTAAAAGCTGGTCTCCCAATATTTTTCGGCTCAGACGTCGGTAAATACAGTAACTCCAAATCCGGAGTCATGGATCTTGATCTCATCGATTATGAATTAGGATTCAATATCAAACTTGGAATGAGTAAAGCACAACGTTTAATGACGGGAGAGAGTGCAATGACTCATGCAATGGTTCTTACAGCTGTACATTTGGATGAGGAAGGAAAGAGTGTTAGATTGGAGAGTTCAGAATAGTTGGGAGAGGGAGCAGGAACGGATGGCTGGTTTGTAATGAGTGATGCGTGGATGGATGAATTTGTCTATCAGGCAGTTGTAGAACCGAGGTTTGTGGCAAAGAGTGTTAGGGATGTGCTTGGGGGTGAAGCAAAGGTTTTGAACTTGTGGGATCCGATGGGTGCTTTGGCTTAAATGGGTATTATGATGTGAGCTTTTGTTTTGAAGGTAGACAATTAATGTAGTCATAACATTGAGAGGAATAGGAAAGGGGAGTTATTGGTTATGAATGATGGGGTTGGCGATGATAGTTATGATATCAATACGCGAGTCAAGACTAGACAATAAAAATAGTTCTAGCATATTTCAAAGCTAAAGATCGGATGTGACAATTGTAAATCTATTTTGATATACTTTATTTTCCTTTTCTTCTTCCTTTATTTTTGTTTTATATTTGTCTGAATTACATTCAATCTTATTGTTTTGTTTTGTGTTTTATATAGTATGGTAATAGTATAGTGCTTTCTATGCATCATATTATATCTTTATACTATCTTGATGATTAGGATTATTGTTGTTGTTAATGAAGTTGATATTGATTTGATCAAGATGGAGATGGAGATGGAGATGGAGATGGAGATTAATGTTGTGAGTTTGAATGGATGGGATGGATGGGATGGATGGGATGGATGGGATGGATGGGATGGATGGGGATGGATGGGAATGGATGGGATGGATGGATAGATGAGTTTGTAGGTAGGTAGGTAGGTAGATAAAATAATAGATAAATAAATAGATAGATAGATAAGTAAATAGATAGGTAGATGGGTAGATGAGTAGATAGATGATTGATTGATGGATTGATTTTATTTAACGTCCTTTTCAGTCCATGACTATTTAGAACAGCTAGGCTATAGAGGCCTAGCAAATACTATTGGATATCTATAGTAGATATATCAATTTGGGAAAATAAAAACGAATACTGGGAACTAAGCTCGATCTCTATTCGAAGTGCAAATAGAGATAATTGTCTTTATCCTTTAAGATACTCCTTTCTGACTTTTCTCCTCCCTTAATTCAATTAAAGTATCCCACTATCCAATTTCTCTTTTTTTAAAATCCTAAAATCCAATTTGCCTATTCCTTTTTTTCTATAAAAGATAAGAGTTATTTCTTTCCAAGTTGTTTCCAATATAATAAGGGTTTCTTATTAGTAAAATAACAATAAAAAGCACTACTCTTCTTTAATCTTTATTCTTTTAAACTAACTTCTTGTATATTTTCATAAGCTTGATATCCTTAGTTTTATTAGATATATATATCGAAACTGTTGATAATAGTGGGGCAGAGCTGAGCCCTAAATCTATATATAAATCAATTCAGAAAATTCGAAAATTCGAAAATTAAAAGGAAAAACATTGTATTGTATCGATACTTAGAGTATAATATTAATTTGAAGGTGATAGTATTCTCTATATTGTATTGTCATGGTATTCGAATAGCTAAAAGCTAAAGGGTATAAAAAAAGGGATTGTAGTATAAGTAGAGTAATAGTAAGCTTTATATTGAAAAGACTCTTTTAAAAAGAAAAGACCTACTATATATCTTACTTCTGTAAAATAATAATCGATAATAGATATTGAATCTGATTAAGGCTTTTATAACCTTTGTATTTGTATCTAAAACTGGTATTCAATTTTTTATAGATATTGTTGTTGTAAAATCGTAATATAATCCTTTGCTATATCTCTGATACCTCTTTTCTTCTAATTCTTCTAATTCTATTTGCGACTCAATCTTAGCTCTATAGACTCTCAAGAGAAAGCTGGAGGTTCGTAGGATGCACCGCGTACAGGTATTGAGTCTTCGCATCCCAGATGAGTAGATAGATAGCTAGATAGATTGAGTAGTATATGTGAAAGTATCTTATTATTTTATTTTATTAAATATTAATATTAAGTTATGAGATGAGATGAGATGAGAGTGGAGATTTAAAAATGTAATTAAGAGATGAGATGTTATATATATATATAGCTACAGTTGCGAGAAGTCGAATGTATGGATTCGTGAATTTGTTGACTGTGATGTGGATGGGATATTCTATATGAGCATATATGCAAAGTGAGTTATTTCATCAATGAATAGAAGAGGGATTTGTGGATACCGAGGAGTTCTGAGGAGTTCAGAATTTGTATTGGGAAGTGTGAGGCGTGATTGTGACGCGTGGAATGGTGGGAAAGATATATCTGTCTTCTGTGATTTCTATGTGCTAGAAAGGAATTTTGATACTTGGTGAGGGATACTCGGGAATATGGGTTTGTTTATTCGAGAAACGCGGATTATGGGTGAGGATTCAGATTCAGATTCGGATTCATATTTGAGTTTGAATGCTGGGAAATTCTATCTACATACTTCACTCGTGAAATACGCAATCCTTCAAAACTATTCCTATATCCCTATATGCAAAACCCGATTTCCGTCAGAAGAACACGCGAATAAAACATCTCACAACGCAACATCCGGGAGATTCCAAAACCCATCATCCGCACTGGGAAAGGCCAGCCAAAAATTATCATCCAAACCTATCAAAAACTCATCTTGCAGGTGACTTTCCGGTATCACAAGTGGTGCTGTGGTCGATTCATCGTGTTGGTTAAAGGGTTGAGGGATTTCTTCTTCGGGTTCGGGGGATGAGTTGGAGGGGTGCGGGTGGAGACTTGCTTCGTACAAGCTTTTGATGCGGAGAAGTTGGCGGGAAAAGCGGATGAAGATGTCTTTTTCGGGGGTGGTGGTGGTGGATAGGTTTGGCGATTGGGGTTGGGATTGGAGTTCTGGACTTCTGCCTCGAATGGAGATGATGATCTTGAGTTTTGCAATGAGGAAATCAATCGTGTGTTGGATGTTTAGGGCAGAGCGGGCGTGCTCTCGATCCCAACCGTCGGCTTTGCAGGTGCAGAGTTTCAGGGCGACTAGAATGCCATAGCCGACTTGGACCCAGGTGGTATAGGCAGCTGCGATGGAGAAGTCGATCCATTGAGTGACTTTGTCGTCGAGGAAGGTTTTGACGGATATTAGGCAGGAGTTGAGGATACTGAGTCGCTCGAGACTATCTGAAGTTGTGAAGTCGGCATCGTTTAAGCCCGCTTCGTAGAGATTGATTTCGGCAATGCTGTAGTTGATTGATATGAGGACTTTTTCAGGGGTTGTTAATAAGAAATTAGGGGGTACAGGAAGCGAGGGAACTAACAGTGGGATTTTAGATTTTCTGGTAGCTCGTGTTTGAAAGTTTCTAGTTCCCTCTGCAATAAGTCCATACACATCTTTTGCGGAACGATACGAGGACCGAATCCCACTTCGAGATTGAAGAATGTGTGTTTGATTTTCCTCGTGAGTTGTTGCAGCTTTACTAGATGGAAAAGAATTATGTCGCTCTGGAACTCTCCTGCTTCGGCTACCGTTTTACATGCTTCTTCGAGCTGGACAGTGTATCTCATACTTTCAACGCTACTACCTGGGGGCATCCTGGTGAGAATCATTAGTTAAAGCATGTCGATTTCGAAGTCCCGGTGGTAAATTTACATTGAGGTAGCATAGAAACATCCTGCGTAAGCCCGGAGCTCCTCAAGTCTCCGACTACTCAATCTATCTTTATTGGCTTGTCGAGTACCTGACAGGATATCAGAATCGAAAGTAAAAAGGCTGTAGTCTTGTAATATCAGTTTGTGAAGTCAAAGACACACTTACCATCAACCGATACCTTCTCCATAGTCGCACCTTGCTTTAATGATCGTTGAAGACCAAGTGTTGTCACCATTGACTTCACAAGGTAAATCAAATTGAATGTTTGATTGTTTATGATAGATTGGTAATGAAACCTATTAGCATTAGTGAACTTCTATTTGATACTACGGTAGAGGGAACATTGTAAATACCATCCAAGATGAACAAGCAAAGCTTGCAATTTGTCTAGACTAGCAGTCTGACCTCTTAACAACAATTCAGTTATAAAATTCTCGAAAGAGCGAATTCCAAAAGCATCCTGAAAAGTTGGATTTCGGTGAGATGCAGCTGTGATAATAGCTTTCCATAAAAATGGTCTCTCTGCTTGAAATTGGCGAGGTGAGATATTCGGAAGTATGAGGACGAACGGACAGTATGGAGCCATGTCGCTTTTGAAAATGGCCAGTAGTGCATGTGCGTAATCATCATCAAGATCGATTACGGGGGGTATAGTTGTCGATGATGGATATAAATCTGTATCCACGCGGTTGCTAGTGGATGGGGTCTTGAGATTATCACCGAAACACATTGATGTCTCGTCGTTTGGGATCTGTTCAGTAACATGGTCTAGCAAGTGTGGCGGATCCATAGATTTGATACCCATTGGAATGTCATTCTGAGATTGTAAGTATGGTGGATCAATGGACTTAGTGTTCGTCGGAATGTCATCCTGACGTTGTACAATTGATGCTTTCGGTATATGATTCGAAGTACTCAGAATAGTAACGATATCATCTAATTTCTTCTCGAGTCCAGCCACGGAGCTAGATGAAATCAGTATAGAGCGTTAAAATAAGCTTCCCATAATACTCACGTAGCTTTAAGTCGTTTTTTCGGTTTATTTGGGGGTTCGCATTCTTTTCGAAGTCGTTGACAGCTGGATATCAATAATTTAGCGAAAATAGATATTGAGGATTGAGAAAACCTACCGATAGCATTTGTTGCCAACGGGATCAGACGGCATACATTTTACCTTTGCTTTAGCACATGTTCCACATGCATTATTTTGTAGTCCATAGGCCCTTTTGGGGTGTTCAACAACTGGAGCTTCCATTCCGGGAGGTAATGAAGGTGACTATCACGTGTCAGTTCTCCCGCGCCTCTAAGTCTGGGAAGGATACTTTTGAAATAGCTAGGCTTGAACAGTGAAAGCGGCACTCTCAAGAATTGAATAAGGAAATCTACGAGACCTAAAACTTTGAAGGTTGCTATTCTTCAGACGGGAAGTCGTTGAGCTCTCTCCTCAAACATAAGATGAGCGGGAACGGCTTCCGTGTCCGCGTCATATCACGTGATCTTACAATATATTGTTTCATCTTGACTTCATGAGAGGATATGATATCGCTCATCATGGCAAAAGAAACAACGATGCCAAAGAAACACTGCGTACGGCGTTAAAAATTGATATGGCTCGGCATTCTTTTGTACATAAAGACTTCTTCACGTGTACGGGATAGTCGCCCGAGTGCACAGATTCTCGGATCTTGAAATCAATTCTGTACATTGTGAGTATGGCATCATTCACATCTCTCAATCGTTCTCGTGCACCTGTTCGGCCAATTTTTTCTAATCGAGAAACCGTTGGATGATCTGATCTATTGCTGATGCTTCCACGGCAATCTAGTTTACTTTTTATAAAAGAAGCTACAAGAACCGATGCACGAGCAGCTGCTAGTTTGAGATCTGCACTCATTGTACTTGGCAATGACCCTCTTCTTTCCTTGGCCAACTTCCTCGATCTACTGTGTACAACGGTTTGATAATGGATATAAACTGCGTCAAGACTTGTCAAGCACAACTGCTGGTTGAATCGAGGCTATTGGAAAGTTCCAACTGCTATATGGATCGTGATAAACAGAGTTTTCATTTTAGCCTTATTCCCTCAAAGCACAAGAGGGATGATGAAGATATCTGGACTTGCAATCTCGCGAATAGTTGAAGGATATGCGAACACTAGGGACTTTTTGCCAACGGGTTGCCCCGGAATTTTCAGGGACATGGCACATCTGCCGTTAGCCTCCCGATTTCAGCTCAATCTAGTGACGGCTCGACCTACAATCGTTACGAAGGACCGATTTGATCGTCTTCTGATGCTAAAAAGTTACATGGCATTGAGCGGTATAACGTTCATATAGTTACTCTCGGAAGTGGGGTTTTGTGTGGGACAACAAGCTGGAGTAGTACGACCAAGGGTGTAGTTGCCTCTACAACATTTGTTTAGGCTTTCTAAAGGCGCGCTTGTGGGAAGAGTATGTGTGAAATGATCTCTTCGAGTCATCGAAACTACTTGAAAGATTCAATAGCTAAGAAGAATTGTATCACTCTTCAGTCAGCGATATCTCCCCTGTAGCACCGCATTTATGTATAAATACCCCAGTATATCACTCAGGAAGATAGATTCAATTATTATCTACACACTTCTTCATCTCAACATCTAATAAACTTGTTCTTCAAACCTCCTTGCTTTCTTGTCTAATTCAAACCGACAAAATGGTTGCCATCAAAAACATTTTCTGCTTCATCACAGCAGTCACTGCTGCCACTATTTACCAGCGTACTCCGGCGACTCTTCTCACAGATATAACCACCATCGATACAAATGTCAAAGCACTTACGACTGCAGTAGACAACTACAACGGTGGATTCTTTAACCTGCTTACAGTGAGCAGCACTGAATCAACTTTGGAAACTTGTAAGTTCTAATTTGAAGTTGTCATACAACCCATACTAATCATTCACTTTAGCTATCAAGAACGCTGCCAATGATGCTGCCAACACATCTCAATTATCCTCAGCCGACTCCAACAGTATTCTCAATGAAATCAATAACCTGATTCCCGATATTCAAGAGGCACTCAATGCGCTTGTAGCAAAGAAGTCTACATTCGCTAACGCAGGGGTTGCTTCAACCGTTAAGGGTGACTTGACGAGTTTGAAAAAGGAAACTGATGATTTTGGAAAGAATCTTCTTGCCATTTCCTCATCTGATGTAGAGCCACAGTTGTCTGCGGCTTTGAATACGATTGATAACGACTTTACCACTGCGCAGGCTGCGTTTTAAGGAGGTTCATATATTTGACAATGGCATTGTGTAGGAATGTGGAGGTTAGTGGCTAGGGAAAATTGATTAGATTGAGTTGGAATTTGGGACAACCGATAACTTTGAATGAAGTTTGAGATGGAAACAGGTTGTTCGGAATTTGACATTGGTTGAATGCAAAAATAATACTCTGTAAAAATCATGAAACCATTTTCTTGCAAATGTGAATACCTAGTGCTAAATCACCATTGCTCCAAGGCATACCAAAGTTTCTAGAATATTCATTCATATCTTTGAATAACTCACCATCATCTGATATTCAATTGAATGCTCGAATATTTTTTAAATTATATCTGAACCTGAGAGGCCACTTCAAGGTGAGGAGTACTGATCTGGGACTTGAGAGAGAATCCAGCACGCAGCAGGAAACTGAAGATTTACTACCTGCGAATCTCGTAACATGGAAACCAATTATCAATCATATCCGTAAAGTATCAAGACTTTTGTAAATTATATGTAATGTGATCAGGATCAAATCTAAAACATGCATCGTATTTATTATTTAAGGGGTCCAGTTGGTGTATTGTTATTGGTTTAACCGTGTTACATAAGCCGAGGCTGATGACATCGGAACTTGAGACTTGATGTCCCTCAACTCGAATGAATTCCAAAGAACAAAACTTCAATGATTTAAGCTGTATTACCAGCAGATACCATGAACCATGTTCAATTTCTCAAGCTTTGTGCAAAAGGCTCAATCATTCATTGACCCGACTCAAGCTCTCAATATTTCTGCTTCTGATCGCAATCCTGCTAAATCTACTCTCTTCCGCAATCAATTCCGATTACCAGATTCCCAAACCCCTCTACAAGAAATCACTGCAGAACTTACTATAGCCCCACCAAACCAATACTCGCCGAATGCTACACAAGGAGAGAAGGATAGTAGTAGAGAGAGAGGGTTTCATTATGCTGGAAAGTTGCACTTGAGTGAAGCATATCTGTGCTTCTCGACACAACCTACAAGTTTCCTTCAAACGGCGAGTACGGGTACATCTTCTGGATTCAATGGGCAAACACATGGTGCCGGACCTGGAGGGAATGGATTCACATTGCCCTTATGTGCTATAAGACGAGTAGAGCGTCTTCATAGTCAATCCTATCAAGTATGCATCCCTTCTTTACCGCATTATTTATTGCTGACATGGAGTCAAGTTTGCTTTGGCTATTACTACCTGGAATGGAATCACAAATACATCAGCGAAAGATGGCCCAAAACAACCTACATATCAACAAAAAATTACAATAAATCTTGCTGGAACCCGCCAAGCATGCGAACGGTTTTGCGATGGCTTAAAGAAAGGACTAAAATCGGGAGTAGGTGAGGTCGCAAAGATGAAACGTGTTGTGGCAGAGTGTTATTCGGAATATTTGCTACAAGGCGACAGCAAAACAGGAGAAGCTCCAGATGCAGGACTCGGAATGTTATTCAGATATCCGGGCGACCTTCGGAAATTACGAGACAAAAGTAAGATGCGACTATGGGGAGAGTATCTTCGAGAAAATGGGCGGAATGTTACATTAATTCGCCAACCTACATTTCATAAGCTGATCCGAGTTGGATTACCGAATCGACTGCGAGGAGAAATATGGGAGCAAACATCAGGGTCATTGTTTTTACGCTTGGAAAACCCCACGTTATATACAGACACTCTAGCGAAGTTTGAAGGAAGAGATTCTCTTGCGATTGATGAAATTGAGAAGGATCTTAATCGAAGTTTACCGGAATACCCTGGATTTCAAAATGCGGAAGGTATCGATCGATTGAGACGAGTTCTTACAGCATATAGTTGGACCAACGAAGAAGTCGGATATTGCCAGGCTATGAATATCGTTGTGGCAGCACTATTAATTTATATGTCTGAAGCCCAAGCTTACTTCTTATTATCCGCGTTATGCGACAGATTACTTCCCGGATACTATTCACAAACCATGTACGGCACTCTGTTGGACCAACGCGTATTTGAGTCTTTAGTAGAGAAGACTATGCCAATATTATGGGATCATCTTGTCAAATCGGACGTTCAACTTTCAGTCGTTTCTCTGCCTTGGTTTTTGTCACTGTATATTAACTCTATGCCTCTCGTATTTGCATTCCGTGTTTTAGATGTTTTCTTTTTAGAAGGTCCAAAGGTACTCTTTCAAGTTGGTCTCGCTATTTTACGCATAAATGGAGAAGAACTTTTAGATGCCACTGATGATGGAGCTTTTATTTCTGTTCTGAAAGGGTATTTCTCGAAATTGGATGAATCTGCGCATCCAAAATCCGAGAATGCAAAATTACGAGCAGTCACACGATTTCAGGAGTTGATGGTTGTTGCTTTCAAGGAGTTCTCAGGGATCACACAAAATACCATTGCAGAGCAACGTATGAATCATAAAGATGCTGTTTTGAACAGTATTGAAAGTTTTGCAAAACGAACCTCAATACGAAACTTAGGTCCGGAAAGCAAGAAATTGAGTGTTGACGAATTGGGTGCTTTGTATGATAGGTTTTATGGCGTCTTATACGAAAGACAACAAAGAAGTCAGATGATACAAGAAGAAAAAGAAAGAAGAGCAAAAGCCAATAGAGCCAGTGTCATTGCTGGATTAGGAGAGAACCAAAATATCGAGAAAGGTAGAGTGGGTCTTGGTCCAAGTCCTACTCTGATGGATTACGATTGCTTCCGAGAGTTCCTTGCTGGAATGACCAAATGGGCTGTAACAGACTCACCATCAACACAAGAAAAGGAACTCGAGAAGGAGAAACATTCTTATTTTGGCAATTCTTTGCGACGTCGAGATATTTCCCTCTCTCCTTGGGGTTTTGGTAACCCTGAACCAGCCGATCACGAATTCATGCAACGACTTTTCCGAAGATGGGATGTGGATATGAATTCCGCACTGACTTTACAAAATGTCGTCACAGGATTGGCTCATATCAAGGGCAAAGGTGATATTATGGGAAGCATTACATACTTCTTTGAACTTTATGATGATGACGGAGATGGAAAAGTGGACAGAGAAGGGATTCTAAGGATATCTGAAGCTCTACTGTTCCTTTCTCGAAGAGGTCTAGAAGGATCTCTGACGCCTTCACCTTCCATGGTTGGACTAAGCGAATATGAAGCTGGTAATCCAGCACAATTCAATAGTCCACATACAACGACACAAGAACGTTTTTTGAGTAGCGTTAGTGCATTCATCAGACGTTGTTTTGAGTATGCTGATCCAGATCATCCACAAAATATCGAGGATGAAGTGGAAGATAATCAGAGTGAAGGAGAAAGTGAAGAGAAAGTTGAGGATGCCTCAAATGATACAAATGGCCTTGTCGATCCCGACTCATTTGCTATTGGCGATTCAGATGACTCAGATGAAGAAGAAGATCTCTTAGATCTTGGTACCGACTTAAAGAAAAACAAAAAGGAAATCAATCTTCCAATTATTCCACCACCATCCAACAAACCCAAAAATCTCTCTACACCTTCTCGAAGTGTCTCAAAAGCACAGTCAGAAAGTGCTAACGCAGCTCTTGACCCTTCCAAACCCCTTCACATAACTTTACCTACTTTCCGCATGGTCGTTCTAGCTGATGAACTTCTTGAACAATTCTTTGAATCTTCATTTCCAGCTTCCTTTCGCATTTCAGATAAAATGGCCTCTACCTCAAATACAACAAATTCTTCCCTCACTACATTCACAAATATCGGCAAATCGGCAGCAAGTGCAGCAGCAAATGTTGTTAGTGGTCCTAGTTCTGCTGGTGTGGTACCACCTGGAAAGGGACTTAGAGGTGTCTTGGATAATATTGTTACTGATGGAATGAGAGTTGCTGCGGAAGTTAGAAGAAGAATGGATGAGGCTCAGAAGGAAATGGAGAGAAATGCTGTGCATAGACCGGGTGTACAAGATGAAGATGAGGAGGAAGAAGATGATGGATTAAGAGTTTCAGGGGGTTATGGTGGTGATGCTGAAAGGAGGAGTGTAAGGAGTGAAGATAGAGATTTATTAGAGGGAGCAGATGCTGAAGCAGGTAGTATTAGAAGTGGTATTGAGAAGGTTGAGGGAGTAGGAATATCGGGTAAGATTGGAAGCTTGATGCCAGGTATTTCTGGAGATTCACAGAGAGAAAGAAGTTCTAGTTCGGCAACACAGAAAGTGGTGGAGTTTGAAAGATAGGTGGAGGTTACATGCCACCTGTGCCATGGAGAGTGTGTTTCTGATCGATGACTAGATGAGAATATTCAGAAGAAATCCAAATGATATGCATTTTTGAGGCGAGTCAAGAGCGAGCGAGCGAGTGTTTTGTTTATGGTGGTTAGGGTCAACAATGAGCGAATGGAATGATTGGAATGGTGGCTACTGTAGGCGTTTGTAGTTTTTTCCTCTTCTTCTTCAATTGGGTTTTCATGCTTGTAATTTATTTGAACTTTTGCGGGTGGGGTGGTGGGCAATATAGGTAGGTAGTCTTTAGATGAATTAAACAATTGTTGATCCTCAATGGGCATGATTTGATTATACTTTATTAGTCGGATTGATTGATTGATTGATTGATTGATTTTAATTTAACGTCCCGCTTCAGTCCATGACTATATAAGACGGCTATGCCATAGGGCACTAGCGAGTAACTTTGAAATACACAATGGGGATGGAATATTTATTAGTCGGATGTTTTACTAGTAAGTTTTATGGGCTGAAGGGGTACTGGAAAAATCGATTCAGTAATACCTTTTGAACTATTGAGTTGAGTATCTTGAGAATTGTCGTGATGATTTATTATATATTGGTAATGAAATGATAGATTTTGATATTAAATAATAAGGGATGAATTTATAAGTTTATTGATAATATTGAAAGTTAGAATTATTCTGTTAGTTTATGTATGGAGTGTCCGCTAGCTAGTAGATGTGAGATTTCGAGCATATGAATATCCGAGGAGGGAGAAGGGTAGAGGGTCCTAGAATATAATAATAAGAACGTATAGTAGGTGTTATGTTATCAATCTATAATATACTCATGATAGAGATTCGATAGATATTCGTACTTCTCATAAGTATACTTGTTAAAACGAGCTATATGTTATCAGACCAGAACAAAAACTTTAGAGATGTTAGTTTAAATATCCTATTATACTCGAAATTCTAATAGGTAGATTTAGTCAATCAATCAATTGATCAATCAATTAGAACTATACTCCCTCCAGATGAACATTTAGATAGATAGATAGATATAGATATGAACACTAGATAAATATCCAGACTTCCTTTACTCTTTTTTGTAAAAGAGACCGAGATGTTATTAGGATATATAATATAATATAAATCTTTCGAATGCATCCTCCTTCATCCATTCATCTTCTACACCAGATAATCTTCTATCTTACATTTCAAGCTCAAAATATATAGTATAATAGATGTAAGTACCTATACCCACTCACTTATCTTTCCCTACCTACCTACATATGATGCTACAGCACCGGTACCCCACTCCAAACACCCTGACTCGCCTCCCACTCTGACTCGCCTCCTCGCTAACCCAACCCTCCCCGAGAAACCTGGAAATCTCTGCATACCTATCCACATTCATTCCAAGAATTTTTCCCGCATTTCTCCGCTCAAATATATTTCCAAACAACGATGATTTACATATACAAAACAGCAACAATCATCCGGCATGGTGTAGTGGCTAGCATTTCCGCCTCTCAGTAAGTGTCAGTATCTGATTACTTCAAAAGGTCGCGGGAGACCGGGGTTCAATTCCCCGTACCGGAATGTAATTTTGTGTGTGTTTTTTTGGGGGGGGAATTCTGAGGGGTTTAATTTTTGGGAAGATTTTGTTGTAATGGTTTTTTGTTTTTAGGTGTTTTTCATTTTTCGTGGGGGGGTTTTTTGATATTTATCTATCTATCTATCTATATATATAAAACATTTGAATCATTTCTAAGAAAAAAAGAATTTAAGGAAGGATTTTTGAGAGATATATTAAGTAAGTTGAATGATATTTCGAAGAAGAGAAGGGCATTTTATATATTTAATGATTACCTAGAGAGATAGAAAAGAAAGAATATTATTATTATTAATTATTAGATATTAATGATTTGCATTTTGTTTTTAGTAATTTCCTTTGCTGTTTTTATGTGACTATTTCATATATTCGAAAAACTCAGACACATCTCCAAAGGACGGGAACAACTCAGCACAGCTGATCCACAGCAGCTTCTGCGCTTTCATGTTGCTCTTCGTTCGCAGAATACGGACATCTTGAACAAACGCTACTGAAGATCTCCAGGCCCGATAATGTACTCTATGGACAAACATATGAGCCGCAATGAAGTGGAGACTATGCTCAAGGCCGACGAGGAGAGTAGGAAGACAGTTTGGAGTTGGCTCCTCGACGCAGGGATTCCTAGCGGTAACATCACGGATAAGGGTGACTGCTGCAGGTCACAACCCGCGTCCAAGTCGTGCAAGCTATGCTCAATGATACATTCTTCTGGTACCGAGAAGTGTCAAGTGGGCAACAAAGGATACGGACTTTACAGCATTCAGTCCCTAAGAACGTTGCTGCACACATCATCGTCATCCAGCCGACCACTCGCTTTGGTCAGATGAGTCCACAGAGTATCGATACGTTATTTTGTCTTCCCAAGAGTACTGCAGGACACCTATTAACATATTCAGACGCCTGGTTTCAATAGGACATTTTGCAATAACACAATAACACAATAACACCAAAATGTCTGGAAGCAATATAGAATGTGCATTACCAAGCCGAGATGAATGACCGAAATGTGATTGGAGTTGCGAGCTTTCTAAATGAGTCTGCCCGCTACTCAGATCTAGCTCTCTTCGAAGAAAAGTTGGCACCGGGTGCTCTTGGTCAAAACATGACGGTAGTCTCCATCAACGGGGCTCCGAGTGATCAAAGTCCTGGGAGCAGTACCGAGGCAAATCTGGATATTCAGTACGTCATAGATATGGCAAATGGTGTTCATGTCACCGAGTTCATCACCGGACTTGCCTAAGTGATTATCGCAAACGCTTCCCTCTTAATATTTGAGACGTGCTTAGCAAGTCATAGAATCCTCGTTCCAGAGTACGACCACCCAAGTCTACACGGAAGTAACGAGCCATATCTAGATCTCTTGAGACACCTACTTAGATTGCCAAAGGAAGAGCTCCCTTCGACGATCTCAGTATCATATGGAGAAGACGAACAGATGGTGCCGAGATCGTACGCCCGACAGACATGCTTCGTGATAGCTCAGCTTGGTGCTCGTGGTACCTCGGTCATCGTCGCATCAGGGGACAAAGGCGTAGGAACAGCGTGTATGAAAAACGACGGTTCTAACATGACGCATTTCCCACCGCAATTCCCAGGTGCTTGCCCATGGGTTACGTCAGTCAGTGGAGTGCGTTACATCGACCCTGAGCAAGCAGTATGTTTTTCCTCTGGCGGCTTTTCCGATCTTTGGCCTAGGCCATCGTATCAACAGGAGGCAGTAGAAGATTCTCTCCAGACGCAACTCGGCGACCGACAAAAGGGACTTTTTGACCCTCATGGGCGTGCATTTCCAGATTTGTCCGCCCAATCAGTCAGATATATCACCGCTGATGCCGGCCACATGATTTATGAAGATGGTACCAGCTGTGCAGCCCCAACCTTCGCTGGAATCATCGGTCTTTTGAATGCCGCTCGCATTTCCTCACATCTTCCACCTTTTGGATTTTTGAACCCTTGGCTTCATAGTGTTGGAAAGAAGAGTCTGAAAGAAATTGTACATATAGGAAGTACAGGATTTTATGGTCATTTTCGCTTCGAGGAGGGTTTAAATGGTAGTCCAATCGTACCGTATGCCTCTTGGAATGCTACACCCGGTTGGGATTCAGTAACAGGTTTAGGCACTCCGGATTTCGGATAGCTATTGGAATCGTCTACCCCTTGGATATCGAATTCGTAAGGAAGTGTTTGATGATGATCTCGAACGCGTTTATCACAAAATGTATATGGTTAGACAATTTGTCGGTTGGGTGGAGAGCTGCATTAGCTCAATGTAGCTTAGCGTTCTTTATACAGACCCCGTTCGTTTGTGGTGACTGGCCTGTATAAGCCAGCCCACTTTCCATTCTAGAATAACCTTTAGAGTAGAGTTGAATCGACCACATTTCCCAGAACTGATACAATTCCAAATGATCGCAAGATTGCTTGAATCACAAATTTGTCAGCAATATTGCCACATGCAGCTTACATGACTAACCATAACGATGTGTATAATCAGTGTATAGCCCCTCATTTGAATCAGCAGTATATGTAGAGGTAAACTACTTAAAGCCTGGGTTCCCCAATCGATTTCCATTTCAACTTCGTGATCGAAAAATCGACAAATAAGATGGAGTTCTATACTGATAATACTCCAGAAGCAGTTAAAAATGCAACAGTAAGTTAATATTCAAGAATATACTCATAAATATCTGACACCATAACAGGGCTTTCATCTAATCACCGAAGCTACACCAAACGGCAAAAAGGTGCAAATAATGCTTGAAGAACTGAAAGATGTTTATGGCCTTGAATGGACGACTAGCTTAATTGATCTCGAAACAGATGAACAAAAGGAAGATTGGTTTCTGCGTTTGAATCCTAATGATATGACTAACTCCAGCTTTGAAGCTCACGACCGTTGAATTTGACCAATCGCTTGAAGGACGGATTCCACTGCTGTTAGATAATACGCTGACGCGACCCTTTCCGGTCATGGAATCATCTGCAGAACTTTTATATCTCTCGGATAATTTCGATGAGGATAATGTTTTTGGATTTGACAATAAACGTGAAGTTTGTAATGGATTTCATATTCACACCCTTTCGGCTTGGGCTGTTCCTCAAGCATGTGTTTTTGACCCGGTTGATCAAATCTGACTGGATAATCTTCGTAAACCCTATTCCTGATGAATCTTCATCGATCTTCTGACCTGAATACAGAATAGCCGAAGCGGTGCAATGGCTCTTTTTCTGGCAAGCATCAGGCCAACCAAATCAAGGACAGAACAATCATTTCCGTAAATCCGCACCTGAAAAGATTCCCTGTGCGGATTTTCCCTAGACAGACACTCCCTCACTCACACATACTCCCCGGAACTAACACGACAAAAAGACGCCATTTCACGTTTCAAAACGGAGACACTCCGCATCTACAAGGTACTCGAGCTTCGTCTCTCAGGACACTACACAGTCATTCCACGTCAGTACCTCGCAGGAGCAGGAAAAGGCAAATACAGCATTGCTGATATTGGAACGTGGCCGTGGGTCCGATCATGGAAGCATGCAGGATTCACCGATGAGGAGATGGCGGGTTTCCCATATTTGCTACAGTGGATTGCTCGTATTGCTGATAGACCGGCGGTTCAGAGAGGGATCTCGGATTTCTATAATAGTGAGGAGAATTCGGCTTTGCGGGTATCGACGAGAGGGTAGAAACTTAGGTTATATGAAGAGTGAATATGGGGTTAAGGTCAGAAAATGGTTTCGAGAGTTTCAGATATCATTCGATTCGCCCTAATTCGAAGACTAAATTTTAGGTCATTATATACTCATCAAGCTCTTGTAGCGGGAGTTATGGTCGATCAAAGATAGGTTTCGTGGTGTTACACTGTGACGATTCGGTCCTCTTTCGGGTTTCCTTTCTCGTCACCTGCTCTAGATATTAGTCCTAGGACATGATCCTCTTGATGTATATAATCTAGAAGTTTCTTTCCCTTCTCCTCCTCTTCTTCCCCCCTTAACTTTAGATTCCTTCCAAATCAAGAACTGAATCCTTCCATAACATGACAGTCCTTCAAATTATCCTTCAAATTATCCTTCAAATTATCCAACCTAAACCTCATAACCACCACCACCACTACCACCACCAGCCCCCACCAGCCCCCGCCAATAACAGCATTATTTTAAATAACATCTCATTTCCCTCAAGGTCCTCTAGGTTACAGCCCCAGCAACGTCGTCCACTGCGCGGTCGAGAAGAACCTATCCATACCAAAAGAACCACTCCACTGTACGTACGTACACCTTTGAAGGATGGCCATGAACAAATTCCTCCTAACCGTTTCCCAAACGCTTCGAAGAAGTCCAGAATCATTGCGAGAAAGCACGCTCAGTCCTCCCCACCTACTGAAGACACGGCATTCCTCTAAATTACCTTCCTCGTTCGACTTCCTTCCCACTACATTACACTTAAATCACTTTCCACTTCCTTCAAATCACCTCCCATTTTTTCCCATTACACTCCTTTCCCTCCTCTCCTAATCAATGAATCTCACAAACAAACAAATCAACAACCACACCAAAACCCAAATTATCAGACAACGAATTGAAAAAAAACATTGATAATTAAAATTTTACATATATTTCTACAACCCGTCCCCTCCCCAGAAACCAAACAAACATGCGTTTGTATTTACATGTTTCCCATCCATATCCTTCTTCCCATCCATCCATCCATCAACCCCATTCAATTCCATTGTATCTATTTTCCCCGCCAATCCGTCAATCCCCAACCCGGCAATCCCCACCCGTCAATCCACTAATGAAGGGAAGTAACAAAGGGCCAAAAAAAAAAGTGATACATAGACAACTCTCCCATTTCCATTAATTCACCTCCTCCTCCTCCTAATCTTCCAACCTAAACATCTTTCTCAAAACCTGAAACTTCTTCTTTCTTCTCGGACTTCCTCCTTGCCCCATAACATCCACATCACTCAACCCCGTAGCCGTAAACCTTCGATTCCCAACCTCTGGTCTCCCATTCAATTCCGCAACAACTTCTTTGTTTTCACCTCCTACAATTCCTGCTCCTGTATCCGCAGAAAATGGTCTACCCTCTTCAAAAGGTACTTTGATTCCCGTATCATCAGCCACAGCCAAGGATCCACTATTTTGTCTGGGATTCTTTTCAAACTCGGAGAATCAGATTATTACCAAGAGTTTTCCGGTCTCTTAATAGCTTCAAGATCTCCTTACTTCTCTCCAAATGTGTATCTCTTCTAGCCGGACTTTTCTCCATTGTAACTTCCTGACTTTACTATTTCGGATCTTGTTTTTTCCTAAAAATAGATAAAATACTTCCACGTCGAGCATCCTGTGGTCTAGGAGGAGTAATCGGTGTGATTTGTCCATTGCCGACCTTGATTAATCCACGACCTGAACCTGATCTCTGTAAATCTCCAGATGCTGCTGTCGTATTTCGAGATGATGGTCTATTGCCATTTGGTTTGGATTTATTTAAACTCTTAGCTGTGGCAGGTCGACTCTCATCATCACTATCTGGAAGATCAGAAGAATCTCCATCTTGATACCCTATAGGTTTTGGTATACTTCGAACTGGTGTACCACGTGATGATATTGGTCGTGCGACTATAGGAGCTATAGGTGTAGGTTCATCATCATCGCTTGAATCCACAAAACGACTTCTGAATCCAGCACGAGGTTCATCTTCATCACTCGAATCAGCAAATCGACTTGATCGTTGAGTTGACTTTTGTTTTGGAGCTGGTCTAGCTGATGAACTTCTGCCGAATCCAGGTATTCTGATTGGAGATTTTGCTCGAGCAGTAGAATCATTAGATCCTCTTAAAGAACTTCGCATTGTTCCTCGCATAGTCACAGCAGGAGGTCCACCAGGTGATGATGATCGAAGACTAAATCGACTTGAGTTTAGAGGAGATTGTTGACGACCATTTGATGATACATCACTTTCACGACGCATAGAACGTCTCATACTTATTCCATCTGTTGCAGGTCTAGCACGTTTGAAACTAGTATCACTATCTCCAGATGATTTACGTCGTAGGAGAGCTGGTGCTACTGTTGCACTATTTCTTTGAGAATTAGGTGAAGTAGCAGTGGCAGCAGCACCCTGAATAAGTCGAAGTTGCTGATTTACAGCTTGAGTATTTGCTTGAGTGTTAGCAGGAGGAAGAGAAACAGGTCTTTGTTTCTTTTGAAGTATTCCATTAGGCTGAGCTGTTCCATTTTGAGTTGCTCCCTTTGTTGAACCAGATCCTCTCATAGATTGTCTGATGTGAACATCTGATTCCGCATGAGGAGGTTCCGCTCTCATGGATGATCGCATAGTTGTCTGACCGTGAGCATTGGGGCCTGCTTTTGATCCTGTTTGAATCATGTAACTTCTCTCCTTATTTGATTGCTTTTGAACTTGTGGAAATGGCGATTGTTGCATTGTTTGCATGATAGGAGAGGTAGGCGATTGTATGGTTACCGATTTCTTTTTCATTTTCTTTGGCTTTGGGGCTGGCGTCACTTCTTCTCCCTCTTCTTCATCTGTCACCTTAAATGCATCTAGCTCCAATTGCTTCTTCCTGTCCACTGACAAATTTTTCCAGTATTGCTGAGCTTTCTCCCATCCTTCTTCTGGATCTGGTTCACTTGACTTTCTTTGCAACTGACTTGACATGTATGCCCTTTCTTTCGCCAATTTAGTTCTTGGGCTGTCTGGCTCAGATGCTAGTATAGCAGTTGCCGATACAGGACTTTCTACCACAGCATCCAAAGACATAAAACCACCATCATCTGGCGTTTCAAACTCTTCAGCAGCATCACTATATATACTGTCGTTTTCAGACTCATCCGACTCTTCAAAAATTGGTGCAGGATGAGCTTCCGAACTTGTTCTGGTACTATCGTCAAACTCCGATAAGTTCGAGGTACCATTTGTTGAATTTGCTGTTTCGGAAGTAGGCGAAAGAGCTGTGCCAATAATACCATTCTCAGTAGCAGTGTGAACCTCATCCTTGGGTTGATCCACATAACTCGAAGTAGAGCTTCCTGAACCCCTATACCCACCAGGCATGTCCAACCATTCTCTTGATTGTGTGCCTTCTGGAATTGGAGTAGGCATTTGAACAGCAATTTCGGGAATATCTTCATTCAATTCGTGATCCTCAAATTGATCTTTCGTTGGGCTTGCCAATTCTCGATATGTATCAGCATTTCCATCTTCTGGCCCAACTCTCACACTATTACTTCTAGCAATACCGATAGCATTATTATCTAAGCTATACGTACTGCTAGCATCTGAAATTTCCCCGGTCCCTTCCAAAGATGTGACATCAGGAGGTAGAGGCTCGCGAGATTTCGAAATGTTTGCTGCATTTTTCGAAGTGGCATCATGAGCGAGTAGTGAACCTGCGACATGATCATTTGATTGTCCCATGGGGAATTCCAGTACATCTCCCATATGAGAAGTGAACAATGGTGAAGTAGGAGAAGTGACAGGAGCAATAGTAGTTACTTGCTCTGGTGGTCTGACTAGAACTCGTTCTTCTGTCTCTCGATGAGTCTTTCTTTCCCTCACACTTCCAAAAGATGGAAGAGCTGGCCTTGGTTTCATTACTTCGTCGTCATCTTCATCTGTAGCATGTATGTCCTTCTTCTTCCCACGACCAATATTAAACCAGCTACGCTTTACCTGCGGACTCGGAACCATTGGTGAACCAGAAGGTAAGGTTGTCGATTGACCCAATACAACATTGTTTCCCTCATCAAAGCTAACTCTGTTTCCTTTCTTTCTTGGCTGCTCCTCATCATTAGAAACCTCACTAAGCCGGAAAGAACCTCCGTCAGATGGCGATGGTCCTCGAGGTTCAATTGAAGACATAGAAGAATGTTTCAAGGCTGATTTTCGTGGAGATACAGATCTGGGAGGTGGCTGGTGCCTAACCGTCAAGGTTTCGGGGGTTGCCATAAAATGTGGAGTTCTCGCAGGACTCACGGATTGGACACGACCACCACGAGGAGATTCTTCATTTAACGAAGGGGCGGCAACAGATGTCATTGGAGGTTGACTTGCAGATCTGGTATGCTGGCGTTCTTGCGCATAATTTGCTGACGATTGCGCTCGACCATGTCCCCTACCGGCAGATGACCGAGGCAAAGGAGATGGTGATATAGTTCTTGTAGGTTCAATGCGATCCTCCAAAAGCCCTACATTTCCAGAGCGCAACGGCGAATCATCTTCTTTCTCCTCTCTTTCTCTATCCTCACGTACAACTGATGGCTTTTTCGCCAAGATGGCGCCTGCTCGAGTTTTATAACCATGTGATGGTACGTCACTTTCATCAGCAGACGAATTTTGTAGAATTGATGCCTGGTCACTATCAGAATCGGTTATGATAACGCGCTTCTTTTTCTTCTTTGGTGGAGCTGTCACTGTAAGAGATTTTTGCTGAGTATTTGATTCTGAGACAGGTATAGATTGGGGATTTTCCCAAGAAGTTTCGACTTGCGCGGGGGGTAATTTCGGTTGATTATTAGGTTTTGATATAGGCTGTGATATGGATTGCTGAGTGGGCTGTGATACGGGTTGCTGGGTAGATTGTGGCATGGGCTGCTGGGAAGGTTGTGATATCGATTGTTGTGTGGTTGATGTGTTTGATGCCCTTTCCATTGCATCCACCGCGGTACCCTTTATCCTTCCACCCACCGATCCAGCTGCGAGATGAGTACCTTGTGCAGGCGGATTTCGTTTCTTCTTTTTAACTGGAGCATTAGCAATTCCATTCAATCTTTGCTCGATAGCTAGAATATCCGCTAGCGGTAAGAAGCGTCTGGTATTTGGATCGTATACTAGATTTTGGTTATGTGGCGAAACAATCCTTGGGCTTGTACTTAAGCTTGCAGAACATGTTAGCCGTCTTTGTTCAGGAGACATTGGCCTTGTACTCGTAGGGTAGAAAAATTGACGGACCCTCTACTCTCCCATTCATCTCAGATACACTGGATAAACTTGGGTTTCTTGGACCCGACCCACGCGATGCTGTCGCTGATGGTCCAAGACTCGAACCTCTCCCACCAGTTTTATTTGGGGGTGGTGATGCGATTCTCAATCCAGGTGCATCCATACTTGCAGATCTTCGTGACGTCTTCCCACCAGCCTTTGTGATATTTTGCGGAATGGCCGGCACAGGCGGCGCATCATATGCACTTGGAACTGGCGAAGATTCCCGAAAAGTTCGTTCAGTCATAGAACCGGAACTTCCTCTTCTCACAAGGGTAGAACCTGGTGGGCCACGTACGGAACCACCTACAGAACTTCCAGCAGAAGAGGTTGAACCGTTTTCTCCGAATTGTCCTTTTGGTTTGAATATCTGCGACCGAAGTAGGCGTTGTTGGTCTGGATCGTAATGCGGCAGCTGCTGCAGCGGAAGACAAGGAAGTATTTGATGCTTGAGAAGATAGAAATGCCTGTGCCGCGGCGGTCGCGGCAGATGCGTTGACATTTGAATTTACTGGCTGTAACATTAAACCTGTTAGCATCTATTACGAATGTGGCTGCATGTACTCTATTCTCATGCAAAGATCTCCCCGGAAGCCAATTGCGATTGAGCTGTCGCGCAACCTGAAAAAAAATCGATGAAATGTTGGAATGGAATGCAGTACAATGAAATCTAACATACCGGATTCGAAACGGCTCTTCTCCTTCTATTTCCAAACATCTTGATTGTCGTAGGCTGAATCGCCTCTTTACCCTCTGCCAACTATGGGCTAATGAGGATATTATCGCATTGAAAAAAATAATGTAGGAAATGGAAAATGATGAGATTCCGATGACTATTTTTCCCTTTCCGTAAGATAACAATACAAGAATATGACGATCCCGTCACGCCAATTCACTGATTCGATGATGACTGGCGATGTAGGCGAATGAAATCTGGAATGACAACTGGGATGTTTGGGAATCCCTTGAACCGTGTTTGGTTGAATTGAAGTTGTGGCTGATGATGCTTGTGTGCAGAAGAAATAGTGGGTTCTGGAGTTTCTCTTTTTGGTTGTTGGTGGTAGATCAGGATCCAAGAGCTTTCGAATGGAGTAACTTTGATGCTTGAAAATGGAGTCAAGATTTAAAGTAGGTGGATACAATTAAGACGATGGATGCATCGACAATGCAAGGCAAGTGAGTGAAGATCAGATCATTGAAAGGTGGGAAGGATCCTATCTAGATAGATAGCGGTAGGACGTTTGATGGGATTTTGTGTGAGATGAAGTGAAGTGTGAAACTTTGGAGAAAGACAAGTGAGGTCTAGATAAAGTTGGGTATGAAGTAGTCAGTCAGTACTCAGTCGGTATATTTTGGAGAGGCGAAATGAGAATGGTTCCAATCAAATGTAGCTATTTTAATCAAATGAATCAAGTGAGGTTTTTGTTCATGTTCATTAAATTCACAAATGGCAATGAATGCAGAGAGGGGAATGAAGATGGAGATGGAGAGACAAAAGAGGTTTTGAAGATTTCTCTACCAATTCAAAGTTTACGATCCAAACACCAACACATAATAGCACCTCGGTGTAGGTAGTATGAGTATCTCTTCATCATCCATTCCAACTAATCAAATCAAATCAAATCAAATCATATCAAATCATATCAAATCATTTAACTTCTTGATCGTGGCAGCTCGAGAGCGACAAGCCGGATAATAGAAGAGTACGAATAGATCATACCTACCTAGGTACGTAGATAATAAAAGTTTCCCTCGACCTTTGAATTATGAGTTTGGACGGCATGCAATCAACATCCAATATTTACTTGGTAGGTAGTAATAATGATAAGTACTAAACAAATACACCACTTCCTTTCCTTACTACCTACCTAGTACCTAGTAACCTTTTGCTTGGAATTTAACGATATCAGTTAAATATAGAGGTCCTCATTGATCTTATCAAATGAGTTTCATCGTGAATACTAGGTACCTGAGTGCGCACTTACATCAGATAGGCACGTGATAGGTCGGTTGTAGATATTTACATGATTCAAAGGTTCAAAGTTCAAAAGTTTATATACAATTTGATTCCTTGTTCTTTGCCCGGAATGCGAATGATGACCAGGTAGGTACCTGAGTATTGAGTTGGGCTAACAAAGCACACACACCATACACACGCACCACACACACACACATATACCAGAACAGCCTCAGGAAAGAGTTGGAACGGTTGGAACTTGGAAGGCCAAGGGTCTGATCTGGTATTCTGGGTACCTATCTGGTAATAGAGGATCTACTGGTACCTAGGTAGTAATGTATTCCAAAGCTTTGGGAGATTGTTACACCAACGACCATCCAGCCAGCAAGCATATACACAAACGTTCAAATGTTCAAACCCCACGATAGTAGTCATAAATTAATAACATTGATACTCAATAAGTTGGTGATTACCTCCCATCATGTGAATTCATTTCTCGACCCTCCTTTCCACACCAACCACCACCAGCACCCTACGTTTTCAATCCCCCCATCAGAAACAACCTGGAACCACTGCAATAAATCGACCCCCTCAAAACCCACCCACCCTACCAAAACACACTCTCCCACACAATCCCAAGTATAACTCCCGGTTCCAAAAAAACAGTTCCAAATAAAGTTCCCATTGCCAAACCCATCTTTCCATAAAACAATCCATCACCTACAGAATATAACAAAACATCTACCTACAGTATGCATCCCTTCCGTGTGTAGATCAATCCAAAACCTCCAGCTAAGCCACACTTCGAAAGGACTAGACTTGAGCTACTGCTACCCAGTATCCATGGGATGGGCCCGCTCCGGTATATCAAATACCCAGGTACGTACCTACGTAATGTATGATGACGTAGAGGGGATACTGAGAAGTACGGAGGTATGAGTAGCTTTCAGTATAATTATCGTAGAGACAGTCAAGTTATTGTATTGTAGTTGTTGTGTTTTGGAGTGACAAATTGATTTCTGGTGATTTCATTCTTTCTTTACGATATATAAATTGCTTAGTAATTACTAGATACTTAATTTATTCTATCCTTTCTTCTAACTTATCTCCTAAATAATAAATCAAGTACTGGTACCTATCTACCTAGGTAATAATAAATTAATCAACTCACTCAAATTTTCATAAAATTATATAATACAAAAGTAACAAAATCCTCATCATTCTCCTAAGCTCAGACTAAATGCAACCAAAAACATTCATCCCTACGATATACCGAGAATACCTAGGTACTCCGTACATATAGGTAGATTTATAGATTCCTACCGGTATGCATCTCTCTGTAGATCCTTTCTCCGCAATTAATCAATACTGTATCATGATAACGTGATTGAGAATCTGACTTATGAAGACATGGAGATATGGAGGTACGAAGCGAGGGGAAAGAATTGGGAAGAGTGTAACCTTACCTACCTACCTACAAAGATGTCTATATTAATAGTTATTTGACATCTCAATTAACCTATAATTTCCACACCTATCACATCCATCACATCCATCACAACCATCTCTATCTCCAACTCGATCCCACCATCCAAAAATGTCCACCTCCCCCTCCACCACCCCCTCCACCCCTCTCCCACCCCTCCCCCTCCCCCCAGGAATAAACTCCCTCTACCTCTCCACCCCCACCCTAACCCAGCACCTCCTCACCTCGGGCTCACATCCCACCCCCTCCTCCTCCTCCTCCACGGCTTCCCCGAAACTCTCCTTCTCCTACCGCTATCTCCTCCCCACCCTCTCCTCCCTCGGCTACCACGTCGTGGCCCCCGATCAACGCGGCGCAGGCCGCACCACCGGCCACGACTCCCGTCCCTTCTCCACCGTCGACCTGCACACCACCACCATCTCGCGTCTCGTCACCGACATGGTATTTTTAGTCCACGCCCTCGGCCATCAAAATGTAGCATGTGTGCTAGGTCATGATTTGGGGGCGGTGGTGGCAGCCTGGTGTGGAGTTATGAGACCGGATTTGTTTAAATCGTAGGACTCCCTGTTTTCTTTCTCGGTGTGTGAGGTTTTTGGATTGGATTGGATTTGCTTGTGAGAGCTGGTTTGTAAGTGAGTAAGTACTTGCTTATTTGCTTGCTTTGTTTATGGGGGCAAGCCCCCAAACCCCCTTAGCTCGCTACGCTCGATAGAAGGGTAATGTTCTGCCTCCACGGCAGGGGCCAGCGGAGCGTCACTTCATTAAATCATCTTCACGTGTTTTTTTCTCCCCTATCAACTCATATGTTTCTCCCCCACAAATATATATATTAACACCCACGCAGCGTCATCCTCCTCTCCCACCCCTTCAAAGGTCCCCCTCTCCTCCCCATCTCCAATTCCACTTCCACTTCCACTTCCACCCCCACCCCGGACATCCACACCTCCCTCTCCCAACTCCCCACCCCCCTCAAACACTACAAAACCTACTACTCCACCGCACAAGCCGCCAGCGATCTCTCCACCCCCCTCTCCACCCTCCCCTCCTTCCTCCACGGCTACTTCTACCTCAAATCCGGACACTGGAGCGGCAACACCCCCCACCCCCTCAAATCCTTTACCGCAGAAGAACTCCAACACCTCCCACCCTACTACAGCATGCCGCTGCACTCCACCATGCGCGACATCATCCAAACAACCATGCAGTCCATCCCCCCCTCCTCACTCTCCCGAATGGAAACCTGGCTCTCCCCCTCCGACCTCTCCGTCTACACATCCGAATACACACGCACGGGCTTCCAAGGAATGTTAAACTGGTACCGCATCCTCACATCTCCCTACTACACCCAGGAGCTTGCGCTCTTCGCAGGAAAAACATTGGATATCCCCATGCTGTTTGTCAGCGGAGAAAAAGACTGGGGCATGTATCAGGAACCGGGGGTCTTAGAACAGATGGGCGAAAGATGTACGAGGTTTAAGGGGACGAAAGTGGTGCGGGGGGCGGGCCATTGGGTCATGCAGGAGAATCCGAAGGAGGTGCTGGAGATTGTGGAGAGGTTTTTGGGGAGATGAAGAGGGAGGGGATGAGTTATTGAGGTTGGTGGGAGGGGTGGTTGGTTTGCATGGCTTCTTAAATATATATGTACTGTATATCATATTATATCATATCCTACATCCATCACATAAATCTCACTCATACATAAATACATACATACATACATATATCCAAAGCCCACAAGGCCCAAAAGTATCCCATTGATCCCATCTCCCATCTCCCATCTCCCGCATCCCTAGAAATCTACATATTATAAACCACACACACACACACAATTCAGACTCACCCCATCCATCCATCCATCCACCCATCTAGCAAAAATTACATAATTTATCACATAAAATAATGACTATTATTTATTTATTTATCTATCTGAATACCTAGCTAAGGTTACCGAGTATCTCCAAGACGAATTTTCTTCCATTTCAGATTTCCAGATATATATATTATTATTATTATTAACAACAGACAGGGTATTCAATAGTTCGGATAATTGGATTATCCAATAATGTAAAATTTTGAGGATTCTAATTGAGTTGGAGATTTGACAATTTTCATTGTTGGATTGCAGTCTAGACTATTGAATACTTTGAGATTATTGTTATTATATTAAGATACTTAAATTCAAGAATTCAGTTCATTGATGAAAATGTTATTTTGTATACATATTTAATCAAATCTGTATTCTTTTATTTACAATCATGCTATTGTACCGATGAACTTCAGGGGATTGATAGGTGTGTATATTTGAGAAAGCTATTTATACCTAGGTAACCGAACCAGTTCTATCCAGTCCTGCGGATACACCTAGTCCTTTTATCAAGAGATCCCTTGCTAGGTGATTGATACTCCCCCATGTTGTTTGATCGGCGTGATGTATATCCTAGATGGTCTTTGGTGTGAAATGATGTGGGTTGACGGTGATATAGAGGTTCATTAAAGGAGAAAAGCTTCCTTGATAGAATGCCGGGAGTCTGTACAAACAATAGAAGGTATTGTTATGAGAGCTAAACATTCGAGAGACTGGAAAAAAAGCCAGCCTGAAGGTTCATTTCGCATCTTGATATATCACATCTATAGATGTGTTCGTAGATGTGAGAGCGCAGGCTCCATTGTTTCTGCGAGATGGCAACACTGGAATTCTTATACAGATTTCATGAGCGGTGTGACCTTATTCTCCCAATGTAACCCCTAGTTCGTGTATCTTCGCATATTCGTGTATTTGTAAAGATTTGTGTAACGTTTTTCACGCCTCGTGAATTTCGGAGATTAGTCTTGATACTGCAGACAGAACCTCCATAAAATGCAATCCCTGCTCTCCTTATTCATTCGCGCTCGTCTCATCAACCTTCTTATTCTCCTCATATAATACACATCTGCACATTCGGTTTACAGTCCGTCCATTGATGAGTCCCATGCTCCACCTCCCACTTCACCATCGAAACATACCACTGACATTGCGCAATTTCTCTTTCCATTGTCTGCCCCTCGATCAACATCCTTCCTCCCCATACATCCCTAGTTCTCGCCCTCATATTATTAGCCTCATCCTCTTCTCCATTATTCGATTCGATGTTCGATCTCCTCAAAACAAATGTCAAATTCTTAAGTCCATACAAATATTTGATCTCCGCCAAAGCATCAAATCGAAACAATCGCATAATTTCCCATAAATGTACATCGATGTCCACTCTCTCAATCAGATCCTTCTGCGCACAAGTGTTGAAATCCATAGCCAAATCTCCGATAGGTGAACATTCTTCGTGGTCAAAAAAAAGTGTATCCAGTGCGAAATTTATGTATATAGTGGAGTTGTAAGAGGGGTTTAGGTGGAGGAGAGAATAGTGTTTGAGAAATAGAGTTCGCGTTTCGGAAGAGATTGATAGCAGGACGGAAGTGGGAACAGGAGTGTAATAAGATTTGTGGATTCGAGAGCAGCGGATTGGAAGTGTACGAGGACCAGGAAGGAGGTTGGACCAGATTTTCAGACGTAGTTCGGAAGGAAGAGTAAGAAACGAGGAGATGGGAGTTGTGGTTGTAAGTGCGGTGGACATCATGATTCTTGATGTATGTAGGAATTGCGGAGTTGGGAAATGTGGGACAGACAAGTTATAATTCCACAGTTCGAGAAATATTTTGATGTTGATGGTTATCGCAGTCTGTCGAATACAAGCGATTCCTTGTGGTGATTGTAGGTTGGTATTGTAAGTATATATGTTGTGATTGTATTTGTACAGGTTCAGATATTCAGTCTTGTTGTCATCCGGGATGATGTCGTAAGTAGGTGGTCATGGTCATGGTAGTGGCAGGTGCTTCTTAGCGTGAAGCCTAAAAATTAGCGGCACATTACCTTGGAGAAAAGACTTGGCATTCCTTATCAACATCAATATCGTCGGTTACATTGAGTATCGTATGAAGTACTGCCTGTGATTGTATCTTTGATCATTGACCATTTACCTAGGAACAAACCCTTTATATGTTTGGCAATTATATACATATCATCAAGTTGTAGTCTTCCATCTCCTTGCATTCTTATCACATTAGCACTGTCCTGTGTTCATACGCCAAAACAAGAGTAAGATCACCAGCGAGCATAGGTATGGCTTGATAGAACTCATATAACATATACCTGAAACGGATCTCGTATATATGTCGTCTGAACTATGACGTAAATATAGCTGGTATAGTCTCAAATATTGGGATGAAATATCAGATGCTAGTGCGGGTCATTATGATGCAAGTGACAACCCCTCGCCTAGCATCAGATGACTTATTCAGTTATATTTTGATAGTCACGGGGCAAGATACGTATTTATCGTTCAAATATTCTAAGAGGCTCTATACCTCCTCTAATATTTGTCTATTGTTCGATGCTCCGAGCAATATATAAAATCTCTGAACTTCCAAAACGCCAACACCCAAACCGCGTCTCATTAGCCATTTATCAACTGGTAATTCCATAACTCCAAAAATCAAATACTAATCACTCCAAGACATCATAGACCAACAAATCCCGAGACCAAACCATCACCACGCGGACCAAGAAATTGTTCCACCCAATCCAGCAGATGCATTCTCTCGACCTCATCGTTATATCTCTCCGAAGAATACCCCACTCCTTCCTTGTTATTCGTCTCTTCTTCCCGCCTCAGGACCGGTAACTTCATCTTCATCCCCAGATATGCAAAGTGGACTTCAACCCACTTTGTGTGTTTCTGCAATCGAATCCCTTGACGTGTGTATTTACAATCATCCCAAGCTGATGCATTGTTCCCGATAAAATTCTCCTTGCTTAAATGGTTTCCAGTAGAAGAAACATAATCCTGATTCTGAAGGCTCCTCACATGCTCATCAAAATCTTCACATCTCAATATATCTGCGCCAAGAAGTCCCACAGTCTTCGCATCCCAAATCCCTTCTCTTCTTCCTTCAGCATCCTTCAATATCTGTATTGCTTCTCGTCTTATCATTTCATCTGGACATTTACATGTCACGACGAGAAGTTGAGGTAGAATGCCACATCCGAAAATAAACGATTTGACAAATGCTGGATGATTGACTATGGCTCTGAAAGTGGTTATAATCTCGGAATACACTGGAATTAAAAGTTTGTGCACTTCTTTATCATCATCTTTATTTGCAAATTGAGAAGATGATTGTATAGCTTTTGGAAATGGGGAGTTAAAAGATGAGCTGCATGAATCGATGTTCAGACGAGAATAATATGATGACCAGAAGACAATCTTTAGTGCTAAACATTGACAGCGCAAGATTCTGGCAGGGATAAATTCGCTATGATCCTTTGGGTCTCTGTCAATTCGAGATTGACAGATGTCAAAAATTGGTTGAAGTGCGGATGTCCAGGATCTCAGTTCTTTTGCAAAAGGAGGCTCGGAGGCTTCTGAAATGGCGTATTGGGAAATGCTTGTCAGTGAGGGCGCAATTGGGCCGGAAACTTTGTCCAGGAAGAGTCAGGATATGATGTTGTCCAAAGAAAGTTTCGCTTCCTTGAGGGACGTAAAAATGGTTGGGATTGGTAAAGCGTCGAAAGAACCTGGGGAAGCGAGAGGAATGACATTGCATGAAGATCGGAAAACACCAATCCACTAGAAAACCAGGATGTTAGTCGAACTGTTCCTGTATTTGAGCGATATAGAGGATGAAAGTCGTGTTAGAATGACCCAAATTATACACACATTTAAGAGATGTGCATCAAGACGAGAAAATGCTTCAACCACTTCATGTTCGAGGATATGTGGTGCGGGACTAAAATTAATATGGGCAGTAGTATTCGTATGGCTGGGGATCCAATCGTACATGAGATCTATCGTCGTCCTGACATTGTTTATGGCAAGTCGAACATCCCCATGAAAATTTTGAAAACAAAAGATGAGTAAAGAGGAAATGAGGGTAGTGCGAATACAAGAGTCGCCTCGAGCGATTACTTTCTGTAATTCTTTCAGCGCCTTTCCGTATTGCTGAAGTGCATGACGATGATGAAAGTCAAAGCCCGAGGAGGTATTCAATGACCTAGATTTGCATGCTTTATCCAGAGCAGCGATGGCTATGGCGCAATGAAAGATAGATGGTTCTTCCAGACACGCATGTCTTACTATTCCATGCCAAAGTGGTGATTTCCGGCCATCGGCAAGGCTATTTATAGTTTTGCGTTGAAACATTTGGAAGTATATTGCTTGTTGTTCTCCAAGGAGTGTGATTCGAAATGAAAGTGGTAAAGGTTTGGGTACCGATATTGTTTGTGATGACTGCTTGGTCTCTATTTGAGGAAAAATTCTCCTTGGATTAGTTTGTGGCTGAAAACTAACGCTCTTGCGTTCATCATATCCATCACACATACGGCCAAATTTCTGGCATCTTTGACAGCCCGGCTTTGTTTCAGCGCATTTTACGTGTCGAATTCTACGTTAGAAGTATCTGTCAGTTTTCAAATCTTGTTTTTAGTGATGAAACGGGAGTGTAAATTTCTCACTTGACGTTGCATTCAACCCTCGGACCTGATCCAATTATGAGATCGGAATTATATCAAGGTAGAATTGCGACGAACTAGTGCAATAGATGCTCACTGGATCATTCACTTACTTGCAGGTTATGCAGCCGGTACGCGAACGAGATCCAGTACTTCTTACATTCTTCCTTTCGGAAGTTCTTTGTTTCATCGTAGGCAAGGGCGCTCTGAATTTAATATTTGCTGATTAAAATATCAAAAAAGAGATTTGTGGAAACAAACAAACGAGCAAACACAAGCAAAGCCGATCTAAGAAAGAATCTTTTCAAAATACTGGATGTTGAAACTCCAGCTCGATACGAGCACACTTGCTACATACATATCTCAACCATGCTGACATGACGAATTAATAGCAACTGGTGCTCACTATTTAACATCTGAGCTAGAGCCATTATCTCGCTTGGAAAGTCCATAGAGAACTTTTCGAGATCTTACATTTGGCTCCATCGAAATAGAACTCAAGATTGCGGAGATATCGTGTGGATATCTACTCCTTCGCTCGACCCACCAAATGCTCATAAAGGCATCCCGTATATTACTAACTGCAAAGAGGAGCGGAGAGCAAACTAGGTTGATTGACATAAGCTTTCGAGGTCTGCTCCGCAAATGTGGGAATCGTTAGAATGATCGAGCCCGAGTGATATTTATCTCATTTTGCTGTATTGACCCGCAATCATGGCTGTAGAGCACAGTACACCTTGTTATATGTATATTGTCGGTGATATAAGAGAAGATTACTCTCTTTACTGGGACATGATCGAAAAATCTTATGTAATGTGAATCTGACAAAGAACAATCTTTTGCTTGACAGATTTGCGGTTCTCAGAAAGTATAACGTTCTCCTTGAAGGGCCATGTACGTCTCGAATCACTGATTCGAGAAGTTGAAGGTCCCACCCCGAGACCTGTAGTCTTTGTATCGAACAAATTGGCCCGCGCTAAGAAAGATGGGATGTTACTTTACCATTTGGAGTTAATCACCCGCGTTAATCAAGAATCTTAGATTGAGAGCTCTAGACAGAGGTTTCACGTGGATATCAAGGATTGAGATTAAAAACTCTCCATGTCAAGTTTCTACATGCCAAAATTAGCTCGAAACCTGGCAGACGCTCCGGTAATTTCAGTACGGACTTTTCGGGTATTAACTCAGCCGAAGTTTATTTCCAGAAAGAATCGCGCTGTTATTCCTCTTATGATTGAACTTTCAGGAATATTGGAGTTTTTGGATCATTATTGACAATCTGGTCAGAGTTGCCTTGGAATAAGCAAGGTTGGCTCACGTCATCATGAACTTTACATATGAAGAAATGTCGTGGACATCAAAAAATCATACAGGTGTTTTCATTTCAAGTGGAGAATCGGGGCTTAAAACAGTCGGTGCGATCCACAAATCCACTTATTTGCCAGATACCGACGGGTTCTGGTCGTAAACGTTATACATATCTTTAAAATAATTTAAGCCGCCTTTCGGATTTCGTTTAGAGTTACTCTTTCAACACAGTTTCGTGTAGTTTAGGTGAAGCTAAGCGAAAGAAACAACATAGATGCGGCGATATTTCGTACAGAAGCCACCAAGGGGTTTATCCTGGTACCCTATCCTATTGCGTGAGAAAATGGTTTACAATCCGAAACGTGTTGTTGGCAAGGGCCAGAACTACACATAACGTTGTTTTCACGTCATATCAGGTCACATCTCTTAAAATACCATTCCAAACTTTAGGCACCAAGCACATTTTCTCCTGCAATTGGATACCACACAAGTAGGTAGCCACAAGACAATTTTCAGATTGTTTACAACTATGATCCGCGGAGAAATATCTAAGCCACGGCTAGGGGTCCACTGCACGGCATCATGAAGATACCATACAGAAGGATTTTACTGTCTTCAAACACGGCTACACTAGCTACTACTAGAAGTTTTAATCAGTTTCCTAAAATAGCTTGACATTGATCTCTCTGGACATAATAACAACAAAAGAGGAAAAGCGTCCAAAGTCGTCATTAGTTCCAAGCCTCTCCTTAAAATTCATGCTCACTCACGTTCAGGAACCTAAATTTTGCTTCAAAGCTTGATATTCAACCAATCGATTCCTATTGGTATTTTTACGAAAGCACTTGTGGTGGTCTATTTCAATAGATGGCCTGATTCTCCACCCTCGAATTGCTATCTGATTCTGAAGCTCTGCTCGGTCCCGAAAAGCTTCAACAAGGGGGCATCTCGCTAAGCCTTATCGTAAAGCCCGCGATTACATGAACAGAAAAATCTGAGGAACTTATTAAACACAACAACACAGTAAATAAATAACGTGATAAATCAATTACATATGAAGTAGTTCTGTCCAATAACATTAAAAGAAAGCTAGACGCCTATATAGTTAGAAACAGTATTAAATACACCCCGCAATAATATGATGTACAATATCCGAACCTCTGTAAAAAGAAAAGCAATGCTTGTATAGATCCGACATCAACTCAGTTGAGCCGGCATGGCTATAATCAGACAACCGCACCATTTACACGACTCAATATCATCCCCAACCAAGACCGACTCGACTAAGTGCGCATAGCAGAAGTGGGAGCGGAGAGAATTTCTCGGAGATATCTTCCAAAATAGGAAACCAGATCGCTATCGTGACTCTCGCCAAAACCGTAAGCAGTCAGCACCCAGAATCCTCGATTCAAAGACTGATGTTATACAAAGTTTTAAAAATCAGTAGTAATAGTATCAATCCTTTCAGTTGCCGGACTAACCAAGTGAGAACTTGCCACAAATGAGCCTGGTTTCCTGCCTAGTTGAGGACTGCAGCTTGGTCCAAAACAGCATAGGAATACTGTCTACCACTTCATACTCATTCGATGTCGATCCCCACAAATTTCTTCACTGGCGTCTCTATTTGATTCTAGTATCCAACTTTTGGAAACTCGGGGACGATACTTCTTTAGTATCTATCAGGGTGTTGAAATACCAATATAGCACTTGGCTCTACAATACGTGCATATAATCACTTACGCGATACGAAAGTAGATGCTAAGATCATAAGCTTGCTTTTCCTAGCGTCGAAGTCTTGGATTCCCGGGAGACAATTATAGAAAGTGCGAGGGTGAAGGCAAAATAAGAAAGTAAGAGCTAATGGCTCGGCACGATTAATTATCTACTGCTGTTGCTTAATTCTCGACAACATACGGAAAATTTGACTTACTTCGGCAATATACTTAAAGAATCGCACAAAAATGTGTATATCAATGTCGGCCAATGTGTCAGTATTGGATTCCAAGTCGATAGTGTCAGATGAGAAATGTGGGGTATGAATTCAGATATTTGCGGTGCTGGGAATCTGACATTACGTTGTTTCTTTATAGGCTAGACTTTGATATACGTGTAGTCTTGAGACTCTGACTCGTGGTTTTAGATACTTCCGCGGGGATTTTGACATTTATTTGTGGATCATGAGTCCAATTCCTCTACTATAGATGCTGAGAATGCCCGTTCCTCCAGTCGGACTGATCATCCATCAAAACCAGCACTATGAATCCTTTCCGATGGAGAAAAAGCCGGAGATAAAATTACAATAAAAAATAATGTCATGTCATTCTCTCTCATAGTCTGCCAATGGCCTCGCTCTCTGCAGCGGCTGCAAGCTATACTCTCCTAAATCAATCTCCGAAGCAAGGTCTTCGGTTTCTTCTCTTTCATTCCTCTCCCTGACAAACCTTCCGTCTCGCTTTTTCTCCCACAAATACCACAGTACCAAAATGATCAACGTAACCGGAGTTGTGATAACCCAATAGATTCAAAAGCTTGGAGAAACCGCTGTACTAAGATTAGATGCATTCTGGAAATCAAAAAAGATCGTGGATAGTATTGACTTGAGGTTACCGTTCAGCAAAAACCCTTTTGTTCAAAGGTATGGAGAATATCTTACAGCAACAAATGTCCCAGGAAGAAATAAAATACCTAGTATAGCAATAGTCTTCATGGCAGAAGAGTCGCGTTTGCTGGCTAGCGCCATTTCATACTGTAGCTTGCCCATATCATACTGAAGCTTGCTGTCGCGTTGAGCGAGCACAATTTTGGACTAGATACCGAGATTATTGATGGATAGAATGAATTTTCTATGTGTTTGGGGTACTTACAAGACTTCTTTCATTCTCCAGTCTTTTCAGAGTTGTGTTTGCATAAGTCTCTACTCCCTGCTGTTTCAATTTGTAGAGTTTTAATGCCGGAATAAGTTTGTCATGTATTTCCATGAGTTTAAACTGTTTTAATCCGGTTAAAGGGATATGTTGCTTGAATAAATTCATCGTCTACAGAAAATATTCTATGAGACGGATGTAAGCTAAAGGGGAGGCCCACAGTGTTTCAGCATAGCACCTGTTGATATTTATACTTATTAAGTCAAGTGGCAGTGTTTGGCCTGTTACTGGAGTTCTGATGTGTCCAGTATGATCTGCAACAGCCTGTTCCAGCATGCGTAGCCAGTCTCTAGTACGCTTTTGCTTCAACTCTGTCCCGTAGGATATTTTCTCACTTAAAATTAAAAACGGGAGAAGCATCGGATGTGAAGTATCCGAAATGCATGCTCTTAACGCTTGCAAACTCTCAACGATTTCAGTCGTTGCAGTTCCTTTGCAGAAGCCTCGTGTGATTCCAGCTTTTATCTCATGGCTTAGGATCAGCTCCCAGCCTCGAGTGATCCCTTTTTTTCGTACGTCCCCCTTTCGAAAAAAATTTCTAGACAATACAGGTTAACGATCGTGACATCGAATCGAAACATTCAAGTGTATTCGAAACGCACGTAGTGAGAGTTCCCTCCAATATCTTCTACAGAGGGCCAGAACAAAACACTAAGAGCATTGGAGCATTCAATAGCCCTAAGTGGCAATTTCCACGATTCGATCATGGTCACATAATCTTCGTGCCGGAGACTTATAGTATTTCCCCCCATTGTATCCGGATGCTTGGCGTTCTGTTGAAGGCTATTAGAAGTCAGCTTCAATGGATGATATTCCACACACATGAAAGCAAGTTAATTTACACTAATCGTACGCCCTATAATCGAGTGGCCCCTGCTGGTAGCGGAGGTGGTTCGAAAGTTCCCTAGTTTGAAAATTCATCAGCCCTCTCAATGATCATGAATAGACTGGAGAAGCTGGAATATCTACCCGTTGATGAATATAATTATCAAACTCATCAAGTGTCAATGGACATTGCTCGATTGTATCAAGAGCGGGGTCCTGATCAGGTTAACTATACATTCAACCAATGCCGTTATTTTGAATGGAGTGGACTTCAAGCCTTACCGAATAGCATGATATATCCAGATATTGAGTTTCTTCAAAGACGACGCTGTGACGGCTGACATGTTTCCGAAACATGTAGTTGTCCATTTTTGAAGGAGAAATGGTATCTTATATCAATTAGAAGATGCAGGGGAATTGGTATATAGTGAAACTCGAGCTAAAAGCTAGCCTGTGGATACTAGATTAGTATCGCCATAAGTGAGTGTATGAGTGGAATTGGGAATTTTGGCTTGATTATCACAAAATGCGGAGAAGTCTGACGATGTTACATCGTGATTATTCAGCATACCCCCTTGCCAACACTTGAAGCCGGCTGTCTATCTCATGTCACACAGCCCAGTCGACACAGGTTCTTGAGCTATTTCATTCTATTCTATAATACGCATTTGCGGTATGCATCCTTAAATACACAGATGTCTTATTTCAAGCTTCATGTCCTTTATTGACTTCAGCACTCATAATCTGATACAGAAAGAGATAAGAACGTGGAACTGAGGATTGCCAGCCGTGTGTTGGCATGCTACCACCAAGCAGGAATAGGATGTAAAATATCTCCAATCTAGCCTTAGTTCTGGAAAAATTCAGTAATTGTGAACTTATTGACAGTATCTTCGCCCAAGCTGGTAAATATCTGCCACGGGTCTCACTGCGTTGAAACTTCTGTCAAAATCAGTCACCACTAGCGACAACCACCTAAATTTTACTCACAATAATATACATCCCCATATTTGCAGCCAAGCCGTTGTTCACCTCGCAGGTTGGAATAATTCTTTTCAGTCAATTTATTCCAAGCTTCTGTGATCTTTGGTGCCCTTTCCAACTTAACTTCAACCATGTGGCCCGGATCAATACTTTTCTGTCGCAACGCTGCGTTCCTGTAGACTTTGTTCTACCACGGAAAAATTCTGGGGGTGGGGGTTCTAAATAAGTCAAACAAATCGAATAGATGAGTGTTCTGCAAACATTTGCCGAGAGACAAACCGTGAGACGTGAAAATGAGAAGATTCTAGTCAGGGGGTGGCGAACGGGATGGCGAGCTGACCGGCAGTCGATAGGATTGGGACCGATGCACCTATCAGTCGCCAGGCTAAAAAAAAATTGAAAATCAAAACGTGAATATTCGACCTCAAAGTGAGATTCACACGTATCTCATTGTTTTACCCCTGTCATTGTCACATTTGGTCCATTTGAAGTCCAAAAAACCAAAAACTTTGAAAACATTGTGCACATTATTGAAATCCTAATAATGCTGAGGTCACTATAGTAAGGCCTGATAACTGTCCACTCATCTACCATGTAAAATTCTGTGATGATCTGCCTACTTCACAGCCCAATCCATCCCCAGAAAGCTCCCTTATCTAGCGTCATCCTTAATGGCGGTAATCATTGGCGAGTATTGTTAATTCAAGATGTATCTTCCTCTTCTTTCGACTTGGAAGCAGCTTCTCTTTGCCAAACCAGCAAATCTCTCTTTGTATCGCCGCATGTTTCCGACGTAAATTTGCTTTAATCTTCGCGGGAAGGACAATCTTAAATTGTATCTCTGGCAGATCCCACATCAATTTACCAGCTTTAATGTGCTCTTCTCTGAGAACTTCCATCATGTTTTGAGTCAATTTTCTGATATGGGTCTGGTGTGAAATGAGAAGCATTAGGTTTTGGTTCTGTCCACTTTCTTTTTTCTTGCTCAAGAATAGGGCGATCAGGGTGGTAGAAACGGCAAGCATCCTGAACATCGATTAATTCATCCATATATACAAGATTTGCTCTATCTTCTTTCGACATCTTTCACGCCCTGCGTTGCTCTCCAGCGAGGGGATAGAACATGATGGTCAACCACAATGGTAAGCGTCTTAAGGTCGCGAAATCCACGCTCCAGGCATCTAGCCAGCCAATCAGCATGAGCGTCCCAGTTAAAATTCCATTGATCGGAAGTCAATTGAATAGCAAGGTTCTCAACTCTTAAGAATCTGGATCGTATACCAGCCGGGAGACCCCGAGTATAGTATGTCCTGGGACTCGCGCGAGACTTTAGAGGCGTCTTATTATTTCTGCATTTTCAGCATTATATCTGGGACGAAACGTGTTGGGCGTGAATGAAGAGTGTATCCTCCTCAAAATTGAAGTACGTCTGTGGGAGTGAGACTGAACCTGGTTCTTGAATGGCGGGAGGGAATTTCAATGTTTCCGGGTTGTCAGCATAGCATTGAAATACTCGTGGATACCACATCGATGCGACTTCATGCGACTCACGGCACGCGAGCAGGAGTGCTGGAATTGAAGCGTTTGATCTAAAGCCCACAATTTGTTGTATCTGACCGGCTTTCGTCGCCGTTCTCTGCCTGGTCAGACTGACCAGGAGCTTGCGGAGATTGATCTAAGTTCCATTCTTCTCTAATGGCAGATCTTTCGAGTAGATTAAGTTCGATGATTCGACCAGCTGGCTTTGCCAATTTCCAAATCATAAGGCGGAGCTCGAGTGGGAGCTTTCGACAGGGTGTGAATGTTTTGCCAATTTTGGTAGACATTGTAAGAATTGCTGGAAGTTAAAGTGATTGATTATCAATAAAGTTGATATTTATGATAGTGCGATATCAAGATCAGATGTAGAAGAAATGAAGGATAGGCGGAAAGGAGAGACCCTTATATGTAAAAAGAGAAATGGATTGTACAGCAGAATGACAAATCATATCGCCATATGCCGTATAATTTCTGAAGATCGATTAACCGTAGGGCTGAAGTATCAAAATAGCAGATATGATATGAAGATGTAAACCGTGTGAGCCGCACGGGCCACAGCAGCTTCAGAAGATTGATATTGGTCTGTATTGTATCACCCACAGCGCAGCCAAAATCAACCAAGACCAAGACAGAACCTGGTCCATGATACAAATAATACAACACTTATCATGATCAAAGCATATATGCAAAATTAATTCCACACTTGCCTACAGCTAATGTTTAGCCTCTTACCCTTCATGTAACCCCTCCATCTTTCGTACTCTTTTGGTTCTCTCCCTTCTTCCGTAGATCCCACAGGCCATGTTTCCAAACAAGGTGGACAAGTGCCTGCAATAATCTTGGGCATAGCATGCCAAGCCCATCTCGTCTCTCCACCCATTTGTATCACATCACCACTCCTGACCCGTATACAAACCAAATCCTGTTCCCTGTTATCGATGTGTTCTTCTCCTTTTCTAACATCTCTACTAATAACAAACAGCCCGTCGCATCCGAGCGTGAAGCTCGCTAGCCCTCTTTCACATTCCTCGGAAACATCCCTATGCACCGGCATGAAATCTTTAGTCGAGTACATTAGGACGACTCCTGATTCTGGAGTAAAGGCATTTTGAAATAACGTGGTAACAAGACGAGAGACATCAGTTGGGAATGGAGTTGGAGAAGAAGATGGGTAAGCTCGGGTGTTCCAATCATATTGAGAGCCCAGTGTTAGCCACCTGAATTTTTTTTGGAGAGCTTGTGCAGCGTTGAGTGGTTTATGTCTTGAGTTTGGATCTTTAGGAGCAAAGACTTGGTTCTTGGCTTGGTGAGGATAAGTAAAGAAAGAAGAGTCAAGTGGAGGGTAGGGTATATCATAATCATCGTGAAAGTTTGTTTTGTGCAGAGGATTCGACAATTCACGATGAAGGAGTCGGGACACAAATAAAGACTGAGTTTCCGGTGGAAGGAGCGCAGGAAGTAATCTCAACCCTGTATAGAAAGTTAGCTACTCTTTTGCTCTACAAGTATTTGAGTCAAGCATACCCGGAAATCCGCTGTGTTCATAAATAGTGCATGCCGCAGGAAAGCCAGAATCATTTTCGGCACCAGTATTCATGAATTCCTTCTGCGCTTTAGCAATCAATTCCGAGGGAACTACACCCACCGGACTCAACTTCTCCTGCTGCTCGGGAGTCAAGCCACGAGTGAAATCCACGATCTGGAGATCATCGTTCACTGCCGCATCACTCATCCTCTGATACTTTTTGTAAGCATCACAAATTGCCTGTGGAGGCATGGCATGTGTATCATGACCATGATGACCCTACTAGAGTGTTAGAGCCATCAAGCAAATTCCAGGCCAGGCGTACATGACTTGGACCATCCATAGTCACGTGTGGGGTGGTCCTTTCTCTCGATCGGTACAGCTGGCCACTACAAGTTTTGCTCTTTTTAAAATTGCCTATTCTTAAGGTCTTTCTTGCTGGAGCAACTATTCGACAAATATTCATGGGCCGTCTGCTGTCTTAATATGATGCTTCTTTCTACATCACAGGGGGAAAAAATCTTCGATGTTCCCGTGTCAAACGGTGCGGCCGCTAGCCGCAAGCTAGACCATTTCAGGTAAGCGTTTTTCTCACATATCTCACTTCGATCTCTCCTCGTTGTCTCCATCAAGTGTCAATACTCCGTGATTGCGGTTTCAATCTGGATCTTCCCTACAGGTATTGTGTCTCTTCAAGTCCTGCAAATAACTACTAGGTATTTCGAGGTAAGTTTAAAAACAACAACCATTTTACTTCTATCAGAATATGTCACCTTTCTCAGCAAAGTCAACAGCAACCCAATAAAACTTCATCGGCAGTATGGTTTATCGAAACATTCTACATATATAGGTATCTGGCATAGTTTTTTGATACTCCATGCAACTCACATTACGCTATTCCCCTTCACCCCCGCAGCTCATCAATTTCGCTCGTTCTTCCATCCCTTCAATTCCCAGCCAGATTCTTTCCACTTCCCCTTGATAATTAATCCGGGGTGAAATATCGTCATAATTGTGGTAGCCGATATCATAACTGCTCCCTCGAGTATCATGAAAGGAACCTCTTCATTGGCAAGCTTCGACTGAAATCCTTTAGCAAGTTCGGCCACACGGAATATTGAACGAATAAGGATGAGGACAGTTGCCACGGTAAGACCTACAAGCACATCAGGTCGTGCGATTAGTCTCCAATCTAAGGCAGAGATTTGAAGAGGATTTATGAGGGAATTGTAAGTCGGATGTTCGGGACGATGGAGATGCTGAAATATTGAAATGATTAAGAAACACAAATTGAAATTTGACATACCATAGCAGAGATACCTCATTTTTCTTTTGCTTGCCCCTATTTCACCTTCGCCTGCCGCCCAGTTGGCTGCTTTCCTTCGAGTTCTCTCCCCGCTTACTTTGAAGGCATACTCTACGACTGTCATCATGAACAGGATCAAGCCAATTACTTGAAAGCTCAGCCCTGCGACCAAGATATTTGTCCCACTGTTCATCCCGGCTTTTGTCGCAGCGGTATCTGCAATTGCTCCGCCAGCTGCTTGGAGGATAAGTGCGACCCAGTCGGCAGTCATAAAAGTGATAGAGATAGCCTTAGGACTAAAGCTCGACAAATGTGGCCCATAGTGGAGAAGTATGCGAGAAAAGGTCATGTATATTGATGCTGTAAAGAAAACGGGCGCGATTGTTACGCATATCAGGTAGCTATTTGATAGTCAGCAAGATGCAATCTGTGGTTATAACTGGAAGACGCGCATCAAGAATGGATTCGAAGCAAACGGATCATAATGCATCTGAATTCTGCCAAGATAACCAATTATTTCGAGGACAAGACCGATAAGCATACAGCACGAAAAACTCCATGCTTTCCAACGCCATAGCTGCATGATGTGAATGATGAGAAGAGCAGCAAATATGCCGAGGTAAAACACATTTCCAAAAAGAGTGGGCTGGTAATGTACCATCCCATATTCGAGCGGACAAGTCCCGAGTTTACAGACATTTGCAACAGGCATATTGAGTCGATTCTGGGGCCTTTTGGCAAGAAGTTTTGGCTAGCAAGTATGTTTCAAAATTTGGTAAAGAAGTTGAAGATGTAAACGCAAAGATAGTGTGTATAATTTCTTAATTGCAGCACCTGAAGTAAGAAGTTCTTTATATATGATTCATCACGATTCGAAGGTATTTAGTAGAGCTGTGATGTGAATCTTTTATTTCCGCGTTCACAGCGAATAAATGGGATAGGGTATGTGACAATGCGCCACATTATTGGTTGTTTGGATGGTTCGGAGACTTCCCACGAGTTAAAGACTCTGATTTCATTTTTGGTTAGGGGTTATTGTGTTACTGCATACCAAATCAATGATTTCTGACACACGACAGGGTCCTTACGAGCTACATGGGCGGTAGGGCCCTTACGATTAACTAGATTAGCGATGCACTATGTAACCAATCGTACCCTTCAACGACCAACTACCCTCGCGGATTATGAAACGAAAAATCGTGTCATATGCGATTGGCGTAAATACAAAGTATGTTCCTGTTATTCTACGTGTTTACTGACGCTAGGATATATCTCCCCACGAAACAGGGGGCTCAAATAGCTTACCCATGTATATAATTCGGACACACCAGTCAGAAATCCAACGATCTAGTCCCAAAATCCTATCCCTTTGCGATCATGCACAGACAGGCGACCTTATCCCATTCTCTCATTCCTCTACATTCCCTCAAATCATTCTCACTCAAGTCTCTTATCCCCACCCCAACGACCAGCATCATCATGATCTATAGCCTCCCCCCTTTCTGCACGATCCCCTATGATACTAGACAACCGCCGGCACTGTCCTTCTTCTCTTTCTTCTTTTTTTCTTTCTCCTTTTTCTTCTCACAGCTCTTGCACTTATCATCTTTCTTGGGTTTAGACACATCAGTCTTGACCATACCAGCCTTTGGATGACTCAAAACCTTATCATCAACTTTATATCCCCAATTCATTGGGTTGGGGTCGCCTTTTCTCCTAATAAACCCCTTCACGTTTCCAGATTTATCAGTTCGCCAATCTGCAGGCATTTTGGGCTGTTTGATATATCTGATCTGTTTATCTAGTTGAATCTGTTGGAATTGGATTAGATTTACTCGGTTGAATGTGATTCGTTGACTTCAGTTTGCGGGGGTCTTTCTCGTTTGATGTGACTTGATCTGGTACTGAACGGATGTTTTAATTTTATGTTTGTTGTTTCTCTGTTTATTTTTTCGTGAAGTTATCTGTTCTGGTGGATGGCTTTATAGTTTGTTTTATGATTGAGAAGGTCGTGAAGGTTTATATGGGTATCTGTGAATCAGATCAAGTTCATGCTATGTACATGCTGTTTTCCAACTTGGCTGAAGAGCGTATGTGGGTAAAATTTGCCGTACAGGGCTTGAATTAAAAAGCCGTATACACAGGTCTACCATGTTTCACTGGATTATATCGTTGTGAATGTGCACTTTCAGTGAAGTGAAGTGACTATGAATAATATTTAAAGTTTAAAATTGCATGCGATTCTTTATTCCATACCTACCCCTTCTCTCTGCACAAATTTTCACGTAAGTCATGAGCAGGCTTTTGCGATAAACTTCATTTGTTTTCCAGAATGATTTTATTTGATATTCGTGTATACTATCCAAGTTCCGGATACTATATCTGTTGAGAAATACATACGGTAATGCTCTCAATGTGTTACAACGATCACAAAGTAAAGACTTATATAGTAGCGGAATGGGATATCTCATCATGAATGCTATAATCAGAAAATAGTATATCTTGTCGAAGATTGATAGGATGTTTATGTAGACTACACAATACAAGTTCAAACATTTAAAAGATCATGGTGAGCTTCGGGCTCACTGATGACTGGTGCATAGCACACCAAAACCTAGGTTTCATAAGATTGATACAAAGCGAGTTGTTCGATGATACATGGGTGTTTGATGGCATCGAAAAGTTAAAAATTAACTTGCTAACACCGTATCACGTGTCTGATAGTATCAGGGTGCATTTTGGCATGTTCGGAATCTCAGATCAAAAAAAACTTTATCAAACATAATCTCTCTTTTTCGTCTGATTCAAAAATTACCATGCTAATACTGTCAATTCGCCGTCATCTGACGCCTCATCTCTTTCTCTTTTTCACAATAGATCCCTCTTCTCTCGGATATTCCTCGTCCTCTAGACCAGCCTCCTCCGCGAGTTGTTCTTCTCCTTCTCCTTCAAACTCGCTGTTCCTCTCTTGATGGGCTGGATCAACTGATGGCTGGGGCATTTGCCACTCATATGTGTACATGTGTGCAAGGTTGTGATGAAGTTTAACCCTTTGTTTGGTAGAAAATCTCAATTCGCAGTTGGGACATTGGTAGGGAAGTTTGCCATAGTTTTGCTTGATTGTTGGAAGATTATTGGTCTTCTTGGCCCACTTGTTGAATTCTTCAAGAGGCTTAGCAGCAGTTGATGCGAGGGGATCCAAATGAGCAAAAGTTGACCCAACATTTTCGGTAGATACCCAATTAGTTTCCGTCTTTTTATTGCCATCAAACCACCTCATCGACAGAATAGCATCGCACTTCTTGGAGTAATCCTCATACCACTCTTTCGTTTCTCCGTCACTGTCTAAAACTGCCTGAGTTCGAGAAACCCTTGGTGTCATAGTAACACCATTCTCCTCCCAGCTCCACAGCTGCACAAATAAGTCTGCCGTGGGCATCTTCAAAGATGGATTAATGCGGTTCATCTTAACCTTATCATGAGCTTCTAATCTTGCCAGAAACTCCATCTGATTCCTCAAGGTTCCGAAAGCCGCAATTGCTATTGGATGTGCTTCTGGGAGACTGCTGCGAACCCCTTTGATTGTTTGAAGAATTTTTGGCGTCGAGCGACGGAGCAGGGCAGGCGTTTCGCGCATGACCGTTCCCTTAGGGTAGCACACGGCCACTAACCTACTTTGATTGTAGAGTACAGAATCCATTATATGGGTTTTCTCTGGCAGGTATGCATATCGCAGACGCTTAGATTCGCCCATGGGAATTGGACCCAAACTAATATGGGGATGAACCGCCTTAAATACCAATGCAGTCATCGGTCCCATTGTTGCATATATCCGGAGCGAAGATACAAATGTCCGGCCAGGCCAGTAGCTCTCGGGTATATTTGACAATACTAATAGCACAGTCCACATTGCTGAGTCGTCATGTCCATCGATATGTAGAGCGCCAAAATTACCAAGGCTCATTTCCAAGGATGCTATCTCTACACCGGAGTAATTGTATTGGACAGTTGCTAATAATAGTCAGCGATATTCACAGAAGTCAACAGATGAAGTGTGATGCTTACAGAAGAATTTGTTATCTTCATGCCCAAATGTAATAGGGACAGCAGACTCTGCCTGTTTGGCAAGACGAGCTAATACTTCTTTTGGCACACAATTTGCAAGCAGGTTGCCAGCAGCTATTGCGATAAGCTGGTTGAGTCTTCCAGTCGACTCGGCATTTTCAATTATCGCTGCGTTTAACTGCGCGGCACAGATCGCGTCCTGCTGCTGTGTGATTGTGAAGCCTTGGACATATGCCCTCCTTTGAAGAATCTTCTTCTTAGAGCCACCGATCATTCGCTGCTCGAATTCCGATACATCGTTTCGGGAGTTTGGATCCGCGCTCTTTCGGTGCGCTATCTCGCGAGCCTCCTTCATGGCTTCGTACGCGAGTGTGATATTCTTGACATCGCTCTCTCCGAAAAATTGCGCAGTGAAGACAGGATCTTTGTCTTTGGGTCCTGATGCAACATAATATGGCTGGTTTAAAAACATCTCATGGCAACAAGCAGCTTCATCTTCTGCTTTGCTTGTGTGACCTGCTACTTTGAGTAGCTCTGGACATTCTGAGTTCTTTATTATGGCCAATTTTTGATTTATTGGGCCGGTGGATGTGTTGAAGTTTGGCAAGATCAAATATCCATCCTTTCTTCCTGTATTATTTGATATTGGTGCTTGGTAATTGAAACAGGGGCTTGCTTTAGGTTCTGCGACCTGCGAGGAACTAGAGGAGGACATAGTTTAAGTTGTTCCTGGGGAAACAGCTTGGTTCTGTTGTTGAAAGTGTGGAAAGAGCTTGACTTAATCACAAGATCTCTCTGAGATTCCTAATGGAGTCGGAAGCTTAGTCGTAGAGAAGAGAGAGCAGTTGCAATTTAGAAAAGACCTTAATTAAGATATAGGTTGTATGATGAATTGAGTAGAAGGTTCAAATGTAAATTGTTCAATTATATACACATGCTCAAATTCTGGGAAGCGGTATCGATAAACTGACTGGCTACCTACCACTTTTATTTGATCATGGGTCATTTCTCGCTAGAATTCTATTACTTCACTTCAATGTTTTAGCCTAGTTATAAAATCTATAATAAATTCAATTTAAAATGTGAAAATTGATTATCGAAAGATTTTGTATTTTCTATTTTTATAGAATCGATAAAGAAATTAAACCATTTTTAAGAAAGCTATATATTGCTGAATAATTGAATTTGGTGTAAATATAGCAGCTATCGACTAAATATAAGTACAGGGGTGCTGCTATACAGTACCCTCATAGTCTTAAATGGAATATCGATTCCAATTACGAGACTGAAAAGATTGGCAAGTGAGGGACGAAGGAGCTAAATTTCAAAGTGTATCTTATGACAGAAATTTGCTCCAATGGTCTAGAAGTCCATCGCTTTGTCAACACACATTTTTCGAATCACTCCTAAGGGGATTCTTGGTGTTATTCTGAATGTCTGATTTTGAAAAACTTGGGAAGTAAAAAGAAAAATTGAAATCCCCTGCTGTACCTAGTCTTAGAGCTTCCAATCAATTTTTCATTACCTGAATTTTGAAGTTTAGGTAAACAAACCAAAAGTATCCTCCAGATCTTGCTTCTTGGTAAGAGATGAGAATGAGGGAGTTTGAGCCTCGGAGATAACCGAGTCATCTTGGGCCGAGACAAACCATCATAAAACTGGAAACTATTCACTAGGTGAACTGAATAAAGTTAAAGAAAAGATGCCAATTGATGCTTCTGTGATATGTGTGAGTTCAATTTCAGTGCGCCATCTAGGTGGGTATGCTTTTTCAGCTTTACATAAACTACTTAAAGATGCAGGCAAGAGCCCAATAACGTATTTATTGATATATTCATTTCTATGACATCAAAGGTTCAAAGCAAACCCTAAGATGAGGTTGAAAGTGGGTGTTGATTTAGATGTGTAGAGTAGAAGACTAAAGGTTATTTAAGAAGCAGGTTTGGGTTGAGAAAGTTGAGAACTCCTGGTAAAGCATCAAGCAAAAATCCGATAGCAAACAGAAGACCAGTTGTCAAGAGTTGGAACTAAATTCATTACATTGATTACTTAGGTTAGTTGCATAACAGCCAGTGTTTTTCACTTGCAGACAAGACTTGTTTGCAGAAAATTGCCAAGGGAACAACAGTCAGACAAGCAAAAGAATAAAAACTTTGACGAAGGAGATCAATTGTTTGATCTCGAAGCATATGTTGATTCATCAGTCATAAACTCATGACACTATCATAGACAACAGTCATAACTAACTTGAACACTTGACATTCTCAGTTGAGAGCCAGGTTTATCTATTCTTGAAATACAAGGACTCTGTAGTAAACAAGTGTTAATGGTATGTTAACAGTGTAAAAGTTAATCAAGCACGAACAAAACGCCAATGGCACTGATCCAACTTTCAAGTAATTTTGTGATTCCAGATGTCAGTAGACAAGGGCAAACAGAAAGTTCTAGGAGGAAAGACTGTGCGTTAATTCTAAAAAATTGTCAACAATCGAGAGCTAAATACTGCTGTTAGCAATAATGCATTGCAATCTTCAGAAGACTTGTCACATTCATTTTGCACGTATTGATTGTTGAGATGGGTGATCATTGGTCACAAACTCTTTGTACAATGCTATCCGAAATGATATAGCTCTTCCGTTATCCTAGAAACCAACTAAACAACAAGTTATAACCCTTGATTGTGGACTATTCATGTCCCAGATAT